TGACGTCGACACTCGACAATCTCCTTTTTTTCAACAATGGCCGTGTGCGTGCGGAGCTACGCGTCAACCTCGACGCCTCGGCCATGGCGAACCCTCCACCCCCTCTGCCTCGTCTTGCCATGTGGTTGATGGAGCCCTCCAAGGGTCTACAGACCGGGAACCGCGGCTGCCCGTGGGCGAGGGTCATCCTCGCACGACTTCTGCTGAGAATGAGGCTGCACAGCTCACACCACTCGATCCATGGCCACCCTCTAGTTTCAGTGGTCCGGCTTTGCAGTTTATGTTCAGGATTCGACCACCGGCATCCAAGTTTGAGCTGCATTGCTACAACCCATCCTAACGTTACTTCAATCATCGCAGAGTGCGTCCGCGGAGTTATTTGCGTGAGCACCGGCCTGCAGGATCGTCTCCTCACTACTCGTACCTTAATGGTCTTAGACCTTCAATCAAACATGATATCTGGTTGACCGTGAGACCCCGAGTTAAGACTAGGAAGACGTAATCCGCCTACCAGCATACATTCCCTTCACCAGACTGTCGTTTGCCGCCTCACACCGAGAATGGAAAATAAGACTCTAGGTTCAAGCAGGCCTGGCCACCTTGTGCCAGCCCCGGCCCAAAGCTTGAGAGTGCCATTAATACACACCCTCACCACTTTCACTTAGAAAGGTGCCCGAGGCGCCAACCAGACTCCTTGGCAGATCCCATCGGTCCCAATTACTCCATCGGCACATCACACACTCGGCTTGTTCGTTGATGCATCTGGGATGCCCAAGGCTTTTCTACCACTGACAACTCTCGACGCGGCCGCCGTTTGGGATGGTTGGGTAGTTCAAAGTCGCCGTTTGCTTGCATCCTCATACGCCGTGGCACAGCTTTTGTTGCTGGCTCGTTTCGACCTGCCTACAAGAGTACGATTGGCATTACATTCTCGCAACTTCTTATGCAACCCATTTGCGAGCTTGTCGTGCGTCTTGTGCGACAAACCATGCAGCCCTTTGACCATGATGCCACCCGACGCGGCAGCCCTGCTCCATAGCACTCTCATAGCAAGGTTTTCGACCAACTCCCGCCAGGGGCTATCGTCTGGACGCCGCCTTGTTGACAATATAAAGAATGATACGCCCATGACTCGGCCCGCTTCCAGACAGCACCAGGCATGCCCCGACCACAGCGTTCTCCTCTGCCTTGCAGACACATTCACATTGTATTACACTACGACGTTTTCAGACGACCGACACACATTTTGACTCCCGTGTCCAGTCCTTTGGCGGGCGTGACGATGCAGCGGCGATATCACGGCCATGCTGCAACCCGCTAGCTTTTGCAGCTTGCAGCTTGCAGCGAGCCTCTGAATGGGGTTTCCGCCCATTGTTTTCGCTCGCAACGCAAGGAAACGCAACGCAACGCAACGCAAAGCAAAGCGAACTAAATCACCCACCTAGTCCGCTTTATTGGTCCCCGTTCCGATCCCGGCCCAGATTGGAATTTTGGGAGTCAACGGCGAGGCTAGCAACGCAGCAAAGCTGTGGCAAACGCTGATTGATGACAACTCACCTTGACCACACCGTCCCAGAACCTTCGGATTGATCGTCCTTGATCTGTCGTTGGACCACGTTTAGGAATCGTGCGCGCCCAGAAGACGCACTGCGTCGGCAACCCAGGCTTGTTTGAGCCCTCTACAACGACCCAGCCGTGACAAGTCAGACGCACACAAGCACACACACCACACAAAACTCGTACACGTCGCTGACTCTGTCGCCATGCCTCTTGTCGCATCCTGGGCCGAAGAGAAGGGCCTCTGCTGGTCAACGTCCGGACCGTGCCCCTGGCCTTTCCCGAAGCGCGCCTGTCTTCCGTGCCCAGTCGATGTCTCGTCTCTCCTCTTCGATGGCCCTGCCCTGCTTCACCCACTCTCTCAGAGCACTAACCTTCCAGCATCAACCGTTTCAAACCACATCACAGCGGGATCTGGGCCGAATGGTGGTCCCTCCTCTTTTACCCGTCTTTTCCGTGGCTTCTAGAAGGCTCAACCCCCTGACGAAGAAGCCTCTCAGACTTCCATACGCCGTTTTCGAGCCAGCATCGGTGACTCCGCCTCTGTGGTTGCAAAGTGGATGGGTCGTCCGTCTCCATATTTTGTTATTGAGTTGCATTCGCTTCAGCTTCAGCTTTTTCTATCGAAGCCCTACGAATACACTACGTGTGCCAGCCACCAATGCGTTCCTCAAAGCGACACAATGTTCCGGTGGGTTCGCCTTGGCCTGCTGCAACTCGTTCCGCTGAACCCACCACGCACACGAGATTACGGACCCCAAATACTCTGCCATGACCACAATTCTTCAGCAGTCTCTCTCGCTTGCTGATATTTGGTTTCAACAGGGTCTTGTAACTTGTGAGTCAGGAACCACAAGTCTGGACTAAAAAGAAGGTGTTTCTTCCTGCGATGCCTGTAGCCCAGGGCGGTGAAGTCTTCGCGCTTTAGCCGCACCGCTAAACCCACGTCTCATACGGACACGTGAGGTTATGTATGAGATTGTTGTTCCTGCCGTTACGGATATTGTTCCCCTAATACGACCAGACTGCATGACAACCTCGCCTGCCATGATCACCGCTAGAATTCGGCAGCAGGTTCCCACTTACCGCTTCTCGACGTGGAGCTAATATCCAGTGGCTACGCAGAGTTGCCACCACGTATCACGACGCCATCTTTTCCTCCCAAAGGCCTGACAGAGGAATGTTCTTCCACGCTGTCAGCCACTTGCCTTTGCTGCTCGTTGCCACCCTGGTTTACACTATTTAAGCGGCGTCTCCAATCAAAGATTGCCAATCGTCCGGTTTAGGTCAGTGCCCCCCCCCCCCCCGCTGCTCTACAGCTCCGTAAGGTAACTGGACAATGAAGATCGGCGACACCATTGCCTCTCTACCAAATTTCGATGCCAAAGCGGCGTGGAAACGCGCTTGTAAAACTCATTTGAGAGGGCGAGGACACCGTCAGTGCCTGATTCGGCTTGTGCGGTCAAAGAGACAAAGGATGCATGGGTTGGGCTCCCAGCCGTGCCAGCCAATTCTTTGCCTGTCACCCTGTCCAGCTGACCAAATCTCTTGGCTCTCACCAAACTGAGTCCAACCAAGTCGGCCATGGACCGACCTTTGCTTTTTTTTTTTTTTACCTCTCTATTTTGTCTTGGTCATTCACAAAAATGGAACGACCAAAGGCGACCAAGAGCCTTTATGGCCTTGTAGTCGGTCGAAGACCGCGCAGATCCCTTGAAGAATCTTGCAGGATCTACTCTAGGTCGCGCTCTCTTCTCGTTCCGTTTCGGTAATGCTTGCTTGCACCATTGTTTTGGGGCGAAGAAGAAATGGAATCGTGGGGGCGGTGGTTCGTCACCCGCGAAACTCAACCCAAGTTCGCCATTCATATGTGCCAATTCTATGAGGTCGTACTGCGTACCTGTAAAGGACCGTGCTAGGGAATTCAGGTAGGAGTCGGAGGGTTCGACAGTCCTGTGATCCATCCAATATGTCGAAGAAATGGTAGAGATCAGCAAAGTGTCGATCTCGGCCTCTCGACCCCGTTCAAGACAATAACGTCCACCCAGCGTGACGTTCCAGCTTTTGCGGTGACAGCCGCACCTCTGAGTTCAACGCTGAGCCGCGGCCGGGATCATGGTTGAGGTCCAGACTTTTTCTCAGAAAAGAGCCGTGAAATGAGCAAGGTGCCCTTTTTCAGTGAAGCTTACGGATACGCTTTCGGTCATCTACGAGGGTGAGCAGGCATCTCCACGTCCAATGTCACCTGGCAGGGCTGGCTCATTATACATAGACCCGAGATGGGGGGGCCTTTCATCAAAAGGGAGGGCTTGTCGATGTTACCCTTTGACCGGAATGAGTTGGGAGGGTGCAGCATCACTCTGTTTTGTTTACGACGTTGAAGAGAGCCATTTCCGGCCGCGACAGTGTCTATCTATGGACACGAATTGACGATCCGAGATTTGGAAGCGGAGCAAACCGCCAGGACATCAACCATCCCATAAGCCGCGTTGCGAGGCTTTCCGCGTCAAGAGAGGATTTCCCCCAAGTCTTGGTCCGTTTGACGATTTAGAAAGGTGAGGAAGGGGGGGGGGGGCTCAAACTGATCTTTGGTAGAGATGAATGCGGGCTTTTTTTTTTTGGTGATCTGTCGACTCGATGGGGTTTTCTTGATGCAAATATGGCTGACGGCCATCAGACACGCGAGGTTGAAGTAACTGAAAGACGTATTGAAACCCGAGTAAAAAAAGAGATGGTTGACGTATTGATCTGATCTGGCGGTTTGACCAGAGTGGTGATTGCTTGTATACATACCCATTCTGTTTCTGTGTTTTGGTCTCGTTGCCGTCACTCTGACAAACGTTCTCACGTTCGCGATCTCGATACTTTGCCATTAACAGTCTGTTGGTGTTCGCGATGTAGGCCGGCTTTCACCAGCGAGGCTGTCAAGCAACAGAGTCGCGAGGCACTTCAGGATTTGGCAGGATAACATGATATTATTCCACAACTTCGTGACTTGGTATCCTTCTCAGTATCATTCTTCTCACCACGCCCCCTTCCTCCTTGGTATCCAGAAAAACAGCAAACCTTGGTTTATACAAGAATAAGGCCTTTTTACAGCAAAGTCGAACAGACCATCCAGAGGTACCTTCAACGAGAACCATCTAGAGGCATGCCGGAATAGCAAATAAAAATAGGTACTAGTTAGTATCCAACCAAAAAGGAGAATAACATGCTTTCACCTCCCCCTGTCCTTTCTCTTCTTGTCTATGATCCCGCTATGCAAAAAAAAAGGGTAGAAAACCAAGTCGAGGCGACGCGGATTCGGGATAGTAGTACATAGTTGCAACAGACGAGGGTGTGATAAGTTGAAACGCGGTGCGCCGTACGAATAGATGGTTGTGCGATAAGTCATATTATTGTTTGTTCTTCTTGTTGGTATCGAGGGCTTCGTCGTGGCATGTTCATCGCGGGCTCAAGGGGCTCCGTCCAGGACCTTGCGACTTCCGTATCTTTTGCAACTCTTCTTCGAGTCTTCTTCTCTTGGCTTGCTCCTCCTATTTGCGTCATTAGTATATATCGTAACCACATAGGTAAACGTTAGAGGACATACCCTCATGTCTTCTTGGAACTTCTTCCTCTCCTCTCTCATCGTAGTGCGGAACTGTTCGCTGAGCATCGATGCGCCAGCACCGCGAGCGCCGGTGCCTGGGGTCACCTTGAGGCGCGCATCGTCAAGCTCCTCCTGCAGCTTGGACAACTTGGACCTTGAGTTGTTAACTTCGGCGTCAAGCTGGTCCTTCAATGAGCCAATCTCGCCCTCAAGGCTCGACTTGACTGCAAGCGCGTCATCGAGCTTGGTCTCGACCTCAAACTTCTCCCTTTCGGCGTTAATCGTCTCGGCCGTGATGTTCTCCAGCTCCTTGAGTGTAGAAGCGAGCTCCTCCTTAAGCCTGTCAACCTCTGCTTTGAGCTGGGTGACCTCGACGGTGCTCTTAACAGCCGCAGCCTGGTTGGCCCTCTCCTTACGAGAGCCATAAGCACCATCGAGCTCGGCTTGTGCAATGGTCAGCTCCGTCTTAAGCTCGACGATCATCATGTTGAAACGTTCAATCTCTTCCTCCTTCTCCTTGACCTCCTTGTCCTTGGCCGCAACCTCCTGTTGCTTTTCGACTGCCGCTTTCTCTGCTCCGGCCAGCCTCGTCGTCAAGAGCGCCACTTCTTCGTTGGCCTTGCTTAGCTGGCTATTCATGTCCTGAACGTTTGTGTTGAGACTGGCAAGTGTTGTCTGGGCCTCCTTGCTGCTTGCCTCCAAAGACGCGATCTTCGCATCACGCTCCCTGATCTCGTCTTGAGACTTGGCACTGCTGGACTCGTTGGCCATGCGCGTAGTGGTGGCGGCCTCTGCCTCCTTTTGCGCTTTGGCGAGCTTCTCCTGAGCCTCAGCAACCTCCTCCTCGGACCGTTCGAGCAGTGACCTGAGCTGGTCCAACTGATCCTGTTTGAGCGTAAGCTCAAGTGCCTTCTCTTCCTCGGCTCGCATCTGGGCTGATCGAAGCTGATCGAGTTGGTCTTGCTTGGTCTTCAGCTCCTCATCTTTTTGCGAGTCGGACTTGTTGTTCAACTCCCGCTGCTGCTTGATTTGGCGCTTGAGAACAGACTTCTGCTCCTTGAGACTCGTGGCTTGGCTGTAGAGCCACTGGACCTTTGTAGAGAAGGCTGACAACGAGTAAGGCTCTGATGTATCGACAGCTTCATCTCCAGACATGTCATCGTCGTTGTCAGATCTGCCCTGCTCCATACGTGTACGGCGGCGATCTGCCTTCTGCTGCTGAATGCTTGCGAAACCTGTCTGAATGATCTCCCACAGGCCCATCAGTACGACCTCGGCCTGCTCGTCGTCTTGCTTCTTGACAGCCGACTTGCTGGCATTCTTCTTCATCTCCTCTTCCACAACAGTTAGAGCGCTCTGAAGCCACTCGAACTGCGCGTCGATGCCAGAGTCCGGAACTTCGGGGTAGCTTGGGTCAACTTCCACAAGAAGATCGCGCATTTTCTGGTTCACGTCCTCGAGACGGCCTTCTGCTTGCGTGAGGGCGATGGATGCCTGAGCTGCGGCAGCCTCCGCGTCCTGCAGACTACCAGTCGACTGAAGCTCTTGTTCCTGGCGTACAGTCGACAGACCTGCCTCCAGGTACTCAAATTGGCTCCCCAGTGTAGCGCCAGGATCGGCTGGCCCTTCCACTGCTAGCGAGGGAGGTTCCCGGAAGCCTCCGTTCTTGGCTGGATTAAAGTTTATAATTACGTCTCGTAGAGTTTGGTTGTATGTCGTTAGCTTTCGTTCCGCGTCAGAAACAGACTGTAAGCGTTGTGCGTTCTCCTTTTTCAGAGAATCAATCTCGCCGCTCAAGGCATCGGTTTGTGCCTGAAGCTGGGTGTTCTCTTCCCGAAGGCTGTTCAACGCGTCGGCTTGCGCGCGTAGTTTTGCGTTCTCTTCCCTCAGCTTATCCGCCTCCTCCCGTAACTGGGTATCCTGCTCACGACTGGGCGCCTTTGAGGGAATATCGAGCGGAGCAACTCTGGGTTTTCCGCGAGGCGGACTAATGTTGCTTAGGTCCTGGAAGAGTCCATCGTCGTCGAAGGAGTCGTCCCCGACCTCTAGACTGTTGCGTCCGTTGGAGTAGGTGTACAAGCTCTCTGGGCTTCCAGGTATTCCGTTCATCAACTGGGCGGGGATTTGATTCATGGGCTTTTTCGATGCCTTGTGCGTCAGCTGGAGGATACCAGCGGTGTGCTCCAGGAGACCCCTCTGCGATTCAACAAGGCGCTGTTCGAGGCTCCGCAGTTCGTTCGACAGGTCGTCGACTCGTTTCTCGCTGGCCTGTCGTTCCGCCTCGGCCTCACGCAAAGACTCTCCCATGCTGTTGCGATTATTGCCCATCAGACTCCTCCTCTTGCCCGCCTCGGGCTGCGAGTACAGCTTGGCCATCGAAACAGCGGCATCTCGATACTTGGTCTGGATAGCGAGGTTCGTGCGTGTTTGTTCCACCCGTAAGCTCAAGGATTGAATCTGTTTCTTGAGCCCGTCCACTTCCTCCTGCGATAATATTCGGTATTGCTTGCTGTCCGTCAACGCCGTCTCCGTCAATAAGTGGACTTGAATCGGGTCCTTGAGATCAACCAGGGCAGAGCTCGGCGGAAGTTTGGCATTTGTCTGCGTCGTGTTAGATGCGTCTCAATTCAGTAGGCTAGACCAGTGAAGAGGACTGACCGGATTAACGCGCAAAGGCGCCCCTCCAAAGTTGTTCATAATGTCTCTCCTGAGGCCATCCCCACCTATTGACCTTCCGCCAGGGCCAGCAGCCCGGGGCGGCGAGGGCCTCCCCGGGGAGTACCCGTTCATGATATTGGGTCAGATGTGTAGCAAAGGACGGTTCGCGTCAAATCATTATATTACAGCGGAATCGTAGAGTCGTAGGTAGCTTATGATGTCGTCGCGGCCGTAGGAAGCATGTTCGTCGGACGATAGGAGGAGGCTAAAGTGTATGTTCGCACACACGTCGGAGGGGGACGTTGGATCAATGGTACAGCGATGCGTCGAAGAACAAAGAGTGGCTGGTGGCTGGCGCGTGGGATTTGTGCCGAAACCCCTTGGAGGGAAGCAAGGGGGTTGTTCGCCGTTACAGTATCGAGGTCGCTATCGCCGTGGAGACGGGGGACGTCGTCGGAGACAGATTCAGCACCAGCCGCGTCGCAAAGGGTAATCGAGGGGGGAAAGTTGCGAGGTTAAAGAGAGTGTTTCCCCCGGCGAGGCATAGACATCCTTTTCTCCCAGATCGAGAGGTGGATCGGCTTGTGCAAAAGCGACTACGAGGTGCAGTGTGTGCAGGTGCTGTTGAGTTTGCCGTCCCAAAAATTGAGTTGGGTGACCTGTCGCAGCGGGTGGCAGTCTGGCAGGCACATTTGACACTACCGCAGCAAAAGCGCCCCCCGCCCCCGGGCAGATGGTTCACAATTGGCGATGCTTCGCAGCTCCCACTTCGGGGGGCTCTTGCGCTAAGCTTATCTGGGTTCGTCCCTTGCCCGTTTTCCCTGCGTCGCTGCGGCTACCTTCCTTTTACGCTATTGGCAGATGGGCCCGTTTGTGAACGGTACGTACTGCACTATTCCACGCTAGTGATAGTCAGCGGACCGTATTTTTAGTTTTAGGATCTCTGACTGCTGCATCCGCCTCATCCATCTGCGTGATCCATGAGGAATACAAAGTTCTTCACATAAGTTTCTCAACCCATGGAGGCTGTGGAAGCTTGCTGATATTTGCTTTCTTGTGTCTAAAATTTGTCGGCAACATCTACGTTATTCTGTGCTGAGCGGATGATTGCCGAATTGTCTGATCCGCATAAAACCGGTGCAATTTGGGACTGAATTACACCGTAATTTCGGGTTTCTTGACGGCCAGGATCCTGGGCCAGGATCTCGCCGTGCTAAGCCCTTTTGAGAAACGCCCGAACCTCTTTCGGGCACCTCATTATTGATCATCCCAAGAATGGCCATTCGTCTTCCCAGGTCCACCATGAATTGTGAATGGTTCATCGGGTTATTAACATTATATGAGCAAGACCCTCTGGGTTATTCGATAGATCGAGCCTCACCTGCTCATGCTCCTAACCGGTTGCAGGACCAGATTGGAGTCTTGCTGCGTTTGCCATAGCTTTACGGATAATGCATACTGTCTTCGTCACGGTTGAAGATCAGTCCTTGGTTCTTAGTAGAGAGTCTCTGTGGAATCTCGGAAATGCATAATAAAGGGAGGCAGAATGTATGTTCTCGCAGACATGGCATGACCAAGTGCTTCAATAGCAAAGCCACGTCGGTATAAGTGGTAGCCTGTGTCTATTCAGGGCTATTTATCTTAGTCTTGCCGCCTATCTTGGCCGGCCGGTCTCCTACGTCCTGCGTCACCATCCACCTGGCCCTGCGCGCCCGAGGTGGTTGCAGATGAACCCTCACCCTCCAATCGCCTTCGAAGGCCCTCGAATTCTGTTCGCCTTCTCGGTGTCTTGACTCCGACCATCCATCCAGGAAGGCGCCATTTTGTCAATGCAACTGGTAGCAAGTCGTTTCTCCACGAGTGTCCCACAATCCAGCCGACCGCAGCTCCCAGCAGTGAACCCGGCCACTGGAAAAGTGCCAGCTGTAGAGCGAGAGCGTAGCGATATGTCTTGTCAGAGAAAGTCAATCCGACAAACTGGTCATTTGTGGGCGGGGCCGAAGAAGCCGCGACGCGATATCGGTAGATATTGGGGATCGCAGCATGATATTGCGCGAGGATAGCGAAGATGATCGGGGTAGGACCGGCTGGCATGTAGTTGAATAGGCCCGCGGTTAATGGCCGCGGTATGATGGAGAGTAAAACAGGAGGTATCACTGCAGTGAAGAGCGCGGATACAGCTACAAATGACTATGGCGTTGTCAGCATCACCTCGTCCACTACCCAGGCCTTGTAGCAACTCACAGCGTATTTCCTTGAACCCCATATTTGTTCAACGACCCTCAGGTGGTAGAGGGTCATTGATGCGAATAGAACCTCGCTCGAGTTGGTGCAACATAGCTGGTACGCCAGCAGGCGCCAGAACTGATGATAGCGCCATAGATGGGTGTCTACAACAATGTAGAAGTAATGCTTGACGTCAAGCAAGCTGGCAGCAATGGAGCTCGTCACAAGGCCAAGGACGAGGGTGCGCGTCACCGGCGCATTCGTGAAGGACATGTTGTGGTTGGATGTCTATTGCATCGTAGGCCGGGTTGCTTTCTCAGCAACACTCAATCGGTGGAAGGGGCAATGAGGACGATCCCTTGCCCTTGGATTGAGGCACCTGCTTTGGCTCGATTTGGATGTGCCCTTGCTGCGAGGGGTTCTTTGCCAACTGCCACGAAACTTGAGTCAACCGTGTTCTGATAGTGTTGCGCAAGCTAATGGTGTTGTCGGAGTCGACGGGCGGTGCCGGAAAGTGGAGGGCCACCAAAGGATCGTTGAAGCCAGGTGGTTTCTTTGGCTGTCGTCAAACCCACTCGGAGCTTGATGCACAGCTTGTGCTGTCCCAAGCAAAGCCGACTGGACTTTCCCTGTGGTGCAGTTGGGGAATGGCCCCAGCCTCAGGCGTTGCGACGACGCCACGAACGAGGTGGGCCACTAGAGCGCAAGATCCACACGTTCAGACTTTCCCGTGCAATGACGAGGCTGGAGGGCTGAGTGTGGCTTGCCCACACGCCAGATCCCCGGATTGCCATTCGCTCAACGAATTACCGGGCTGCTTTCCATTCAGTGCCACCCTTGCGTCCCTTGCGTAACCCTGTCACGACGTATTTCTCTGAGGCGCAGAGCTCTGGGCACACGCCGCCGCTGCCGTTACTCCAAGCTTGAGATCCTAGGCGGGTACTTATCCAAGTTGCCAACAGAGCTGACGCGACCCTCACGTAGTAACACCACTGATTTCTTGTTCTTGTTTGTAATTCTTGTGAAAGATAATCATTCTACATTCTCTTCCAAGTTTCTTCCATTTCGAGAATCCATCCCAACGCATAATTCAACACATTTACAGGTTTCCTTTCTCTTAACCTGACGCAGAGCATCGCGCGCCAGAACCCGGCCAAACAGCATGTCAGAAATATTCATCAATCACATCACTCGATGGCTCTTTAGTTCGCCGCCCGCCGAGTGGGCAATAAACCAACTGCGCGAACTCCTCATCGGGGCCTTGAAGCAAGGACCGGTTCCTCAACATGTCGCATTCGAGATGGATGGCAACAGGCGGTATGCCCGCGGCAGGAAGATGGAGACGATAGAAGGCCACCACCACGGGTTTGAAGCCCTAGCAAGAGTGCGCGGTCCCATGGATCTATCCTTCGTTGCGCTTGCTGACGTTCGTCACAATAGGTTCTCGAGATTTGTTACAAGTGCGGCGTCAAAGTCGTGACCGTCTACGCCTTCAGCATAGAAAACTTCAACCGCCCGCAATACGAGGTCGATGGGCTTATGCAGCTGGCCAAGGTGAAGCTCGAGCAGTTGACGAAACACGGCGATATCCTGGACCGATACGGCGCGGCGGTGCGTGTGCTTGGACAGAGAGATCTGATTCGCAAGGATGTACTGGAGGTGGTCGACCGGGCCGTTGACATGACCAAATACAACAAGCAGTAAGTGGGCAGAAGCCATGTCCCGAATGACTCAGGCTGACAGGATCAGAAACGTGCTGAACATCTGCTTTCCGTATACTTCGCGGGAAGAGATGACAACGGCCATGCGATCCACGGTACAGGAGTATATGATGCCGCCTGGACCCAAGTTCACGCCCTTCCCGGCTGCTCGTATCTCTCAAAAGATCATGTCGAAGCAACTGGAGCACCGGGAGCCCCTTCCGACCATCCGGGACACATCGCCGGCTCCCTCTTCACGATCAGATGGTGATGATGGTGCGTCGTCGTCAACTACTCTTCCTCCCGACTCGCCTTCACCGCCGAGGCACAGCGGTGCAGCAAGCGGGCACCGCCTGAAAAATCCAGAGACCATTACGGCTGAGACGCTCAACAACCACATGTACACTGCTGGAAACCCTCCGCTGGATATCTTTGTGAGAACCAGTGGCGTAGAGAGACTCAGCGATTTCATGCTTTGGCAGTGTCACCAAGATACGCACATCTTCTTCTTGAAGTGTCTTTGGCCCGACTTCGATTTGCAGCACTTCCTGCCTGTGCTTCTGGAGTGGCAGTGGAGGCAGAAGCAGATCGAGAGAGACGAGCGGCCGAAACAGGCGATGGCCAAGGCACGAAAGCTTGCCTAAATTTGTCCAATTGGACATCACGGCCGATGGTTTCCATGGAGGGGCGTTTCTTAGTTGCTTATAGTTGTGTTCAGCTGGAAAGAACCAGCTTCGAGGTCTTTACTCATGGTTGAGAGACCACAAGGAGGAAAGGCGGACCTGATACCACGAAAGAGTGTTTGTAAACCATATTGATATCCATCAAGTTCAAGTTGCATAGAAGACGTCTCATGAATATGTAGAAGGGGAAATTGACACTGTAATTGCAAGTTATGGCAAATTTAAGTTGATGGCGGAATGGTCTTTGGAATGTTACAAAGGAACGCATCGAGTGATAGTTACCTACTCCAGACATGGACTTATCAATTTGTGGCGCCGACGATGCAATACCCCAGGAATGACGCAGCTGATGTGGCTGACTGCGGATTGCCAGTGTTCAGTACCTGGGTGAGGTGCTGCGCGCAACAGTGGCCTCAGTAGGACGTGACATGAGGCGCGCGGTGCAGGCTTCCATCTTTTTTTTTTCCTTTTCCGCCGGCTGTAAGTAAATGTGGCTGAAATGCGCGGCGCGCCAGGCACAGGGCCAATGGGAAACTGGGAAGAGACCAACCGCGGGCGGTGGACAGGTTCAGGTGAGCTCCGCTCAGGCCTCAGGCCCAAATCACTCGCTAAGTGACGGATGGGGTCACTCAACCAGCCAGTCCTCCTCCGCCCGCGGCAGATAGGTCCCCAAAAGTGCGTCGGATGGATGATGGAAGATCCCGCGGCCTCGCTCTTGATTTTCCTCGCGCACTACCCCCTCTCACCACAAGCATTCTACACCGTCTAGGTTTGCATATCGATCAGAATGCCTTAGGATTCTCAAATTCTTTCTCAAATTTCAAAAATCTCGTTTCTACTGACACGAGAACCTTTTCAACTTTGCTCTTTCTCCCCACCGCACCCGTTTCTCGACGTCCGTCACTGCGCCAGACCTTTGCTCTCTCTCACTACAACATTCGACCTCGCGCGTTCCTCGCGACACGCCGATCGACGTCGCGATGAAGTCGGCAAAGACTTCGTCGGGGGATACTCCCTCAAGTCGGAGGTCCCAACCCGTTCGGCAGACACGAACCAACCCCCCGCGCGTCTCTTCTGGCCTTCGAGGATCAGCGAATGGCCGAGACTCACTTGCCGGCGGCACTGCTTCTGACCAGCCCATCGACATCTACCCTGCCATTACCTACTTCTCCGACGCCATTGCGGCCCTCCCGAAAGAGCTCGTCCGACACTTCACACTCCTGAAAGAGGTCGATGCCAAAATATTCGCTCCCGAGGATGCGCTCTTCAAGCTCGTCGACGCTGCCATGAATGCCCCTCTTCCACAGCCACGACCAGTGAACGATGCTTCCAGCAGTGTCGCACCTGCGTCAGCTCCAATGAGTGCGCAGAACAGTTCCAGCGGAGGACCTTTGGGTGGCCCAGCTCCTCCCCCAGCTCCCTCGACCGACGGTTCCTACGCGACATCCATCTACGACCCGATCAACTTTCCCCGAAGACAGCTCTTTCGACAAACGGCCTACAAAATTCAGGAAATGCTCGGGTCATTGGAAGAGAAGAATCATGTCATCTCGACTGCGAACGATGCCCTCCAGAAACAGCTGGCCCGGATTGACGATGTCTGGCCGCACGTAGAGAACGAGTTTAGCGACGAGGCCAAGTGGGGGAGCGATACCCATTGGGCATACCCTGAGAATCGAGCTGCCACCAAGGCGGCACATACCGAGCGCTCACGGCGTGAGGGAGCCGCTGCGATCTCGGCAGCTGCCCAACAGCTAGCTGAGGAGGCCGCTGCTCGAAGCGACGCACGCAAGCAGGCTGTCCAAGCCAAGAAGAGTCAAAAAACGCAGGCTCAGCCTCATGAATCCGAACTTGACGACGCTGAAGGTCGCAGCAAACCAGAACCGACGAAGAAGGGCCATGGAGGTGGCAAGGCACGCAAGGCAGCTGAAGCTGCTGCCAACGTCGGCTTGGGAATTTCAACAAATGGCAATACGAACGGAGCCGCGCCGCAGCCCAAGAGACGCAAAGTTGAGAAAACTCCTAGTGGAAACAATGCAGCGGAGCGGGCCATGAGCACCGTCTTTGGAGCCACAGCTTCAAAGGCCAAAACAACAAGCCCGAGAGAGACCCCAGCGCCAGAAGGCGGCGGTCCGAAGAAGCGAAAGGCACTGCCGACGGGTACCGGCCAAGCAAAGAAGAGGTTTGTGTTCTTCTGTTTGCGACAGATTGCCATCAGAGACTACTTACTGACACCTCGTGTAGCAAAAATGGAACCGCCGGCATGTCTCCGTCGGTTGCTTCGTCTCCTGTAATGAGCAACTTCCCTGACCCAGTGTTGCCTCGAGGCTCCCCTGCGCCAATGACTGTGACCCCCGTACCCCCAGCTCCCAAACCTCCCACTGCCTCGAGGGCCAAGCAAAGCACTACACAAGCGGCTGTGGAAGGTGGTAAACAGTCTCGGCCGTCGTCGTCTGCTTCAGGAGCCAAGCCTAACGGAGCGGCTACTGCCGTGGCACCCCTGCCTCCGCCGACACCCGAAGCGGTGCCTCTTCCCGTCTTGCCCAAGCCTGCTGCCGAAGTAAAAGCTGCGTTCAAGGAGCCCTCCGCGCCGCCGGTGCCAGAACCGACAAAGAAAGAGCCCGATACGGCTGAACCGAGCATCAAGCCCAGTATTCCGGCGGCGAAGCAAAAGAAGGAAACACCGAAGCCCGAGGAGCCGGAGACGCCAGTAGAGACACCGGCACCAACTGCTCAGACGGTCACCGCTGCGACAGTGACAAAGAGTGGACGCGCCAGCAAGCCTTCGACACCGGCGATGGCAACCTTCCAGGAGGCAGCAAGACCCAAGTCAGCCCGCACTGGGGATGGCACGAAGGCAAGCAAACGGAAGAAGAGCAGCGCGGTCATGAACACAAAGACTGCCAAGGCAGTGGGTCAGCCTGAAGAGAGTGACGATGTTGATGAGTCGGAGATTCAGGCGGGCAAACGCAGCTACGATTACACCGAGGATGAGCCGACATATTGCTACTGCCAGGGTGTAAGCTACGGCGAAATGGTTGCCTGTGACGCAGCAAACTGCGAGCGGGAATGGTTCCATCTCAACTGCGTAGGCCTCAAGGTGGCACCTACTGGAAGCTGTAAGTTTACTATCCGTTTGTGATTGGCCGCTGGTGTTTGTATACTAACGTCGAACCAGCGAAATGGTATTGTGAGGTGTGCTTGCAAAAGTTTTCAAAGTCGGGCAAGAAGCTCAGCCACAAGTACAACGTGCTGCCGAATTCCCCCAGCATCTCGGGCAAGCCACGACCCCCCTACGCCTGAGTCGGTTGTTACGAAGTAAATGTACGGGCAACTGAGAGGTGGTATATACCACATTCCATATGGCGTTGGTTGCATTCTGCCGTTTGGCATGGAAGTCGGGCGCAATGTCCTGGATACCTTTGAAGCATCGGGGTTCGTTGTGGGAAATGGATTCAAGTGGCTCAAGACATATACAAACTTGCTGCCCCTTTGGGAATGGAGTAAACAGTACATATTACTGGGATGGCAAGAGGCGCGCGGTGTTTTCTTTCTTTCTGGAGTTGTTCAACTGGGTGTTTAGGGACACAGAGTCGGCAATCTGGCCCTTCATGTTGAAAGCGTTCTTGTTCTTGTAACCCATCATCTGCAACTGAGCCACGGTCGGTTGTCCCTTTTTTCCCCCTGTAGTCCCTTGTCGGGGGGGTTAGACGAGCATCTACGAATAATTGGGAGCTACGGCTCCAAAAAGTTCAATTGTTTCCCCCCATGACTTGAGTACCGTAGTTCCCCGCCATTGAGGATTCCCCATGTCTTGAGAGATACCACATCACTCGGCTCGTGGGGAGAAAGAAAAGGCATTCCTTCTTCGGACGGTTTCTTGCGTTTCTGGCTTTCATGCCGTCCTTCCCCGGTGCTTTGGCCCCAGGAGAGTTTCATACCCCGTGGGTTTTCCCGCCGCGGAAGCTGAGCCGGGCGTCGGGCCTAGAGCTCCTCCTGCCTGCCCGTCCGGAGGACCAGAGGAGGGGAAAGGGGAAGGGAGCTCGTCCAGAAAGGGAGAAAGCGTGTCCAAAATGCATGACATCGTGACTTTTTTTCAAAGTTGGACCGAGCAAATGCGGTGAGTTGTGAAATCTGGAGGATTGTGGGGCGGGAAGCTAGCTACCCAGTATTGTAATGCAGGGGACCTCCGGTGGGATAGTTCCCTTCCGCTCTTCGAGGCGAGAAATGTCAACGTGGTCTAGGCCCTTGGTTTCATCGAGTTGACGGAGAGAGAGACACACACAGAGAGAGAGGCGGACAGAACGAACGGTGTTTGGCATCTAGGGTTCGGCGCCGCCAATGCCCGAATTTGGCCAAACCTCCAGCTCAAGATATGGTATAGGCAAGTTGTCGCCTTTTCGATAAGTTGATGAGCAAGCCCCCCTTTACTGCGTGAGACCCCCGATAATTCGTCGCCGATAATTCAGTGAATAAAAAGAATCGTCGGGGGAGTACAAATATCAGCAACCCCATAGCAGAAACAAAAAGAAAAAAGAAAAAGAATTGTTCTGGCCGTGACATGTCACATATTCATTTGGGGCTGGGATGTGGTTTTCCGGGGTAAGCATCCCCACAACCTCTTGGCTCCTCAGAAATTTCGATTGACGTTCCCAAGAAAAAAAAGGGGTGGGCGCTTCAGGACATGAATGTCCACAAGAGTAGTTGCGTTGGGCGTAAAGCTGAGGGGGGGTGCAGGCGGCGAATAAGTGATCTGAGGTTAAGTAGTGAGGCTACCTTAAGCGCGTGCCTTGAGGGTGTGCCGTTGTCCGAGGTAAGGTAGTATAACTTTCCTATCCGAGTTTGGTCTGGTTTGTATACGATATGAGAATGGTTTTTTGAGGGGAAAACCTGGGGTAATTTTGACGGGTCCTGAGTGGCTGGCTGGCGGATGGAGGACACGAGCGGGCAGGCATCTTTTCGGAGGTGTTGTGCGTGTGTGTGTGTGTGTGTGTTGTCAACTTGACTGTGGGACAAACCCGAGTTTACAACTTTGCAGTTTGGGGAAGGTTATGCCGCTTGCCTGTCCAATGGTTTGTCGATTGGGAGAACCAAGACAGGTGGTAAGTAAGACACGCACCAGGTACGCGATGCCCGGGGCCTCGCCTCTCAGGGACTTTCGTCCGTACTACGGATACTTGGAGAAGTCAAGTACCCCAGCACCGCTAGGTCGACCTATTTCTCAGACCTGTTCCAGAGATGCCGGAGATGGGGAGTCTGGAGAAGGGGGAGGGGGGTTGGTTAGTTAGTATCGTCGTTGTGGCACTGTTGTTGTTTCTACGTTGCGCGTGACCGACCACTAAAGGGAAAACCATGACTACAACAGCTATTACTATGACTAACAGCAAAAGCACCATGACGGGGTCGGGGGGGGCAAGTCATGAGAAACACCCAAGGCATTGGCATTGGCACTTGGTGTCAAGACTCAAAGCCCCCCCCCCCCCTTGAGCCCTGGTTTGTTCTTTTTTGACAAAACGTGCGAGCAAAGCATGGCGCCATTCGATGGGGAGATGGAGACATTTCGCTTTCTCGACTAATGACTACTACGGCGTGTATGGCGTATACGGCATTGGTGTTTTGGACAGATTTTCATTCAGCAGTAAGTACACCTGCTTGCTCGCCTTGTTTTTTTTTTTTTGTTCCCTTTTTTCTGCCTCTTGCAATGCGCGTGACGCTTGGAACGGCTGCGTCGGTTTCCACGGGCTTCTCGGTTTCGACGCTCATCTAATTCTGGTCATCAGACTGGATTCTCTCAGTTTCAGCAGTTAGTAAGTAAATTGAACATTGAAGGCGATGACGGGACCAACAATGGCTAGGTGGGTGTGAGGTCCGATGCTTCGCTTTTACAGTTTTGCAGCTCTCTCTCTCTTTCAGCCTAGGAGTCGATGGAAAGCACACATGATGCTGGAACTAAACCGACCTAGACCCAACACCGACAGGGTGGCACAAGGCGGTTGGCCTCGGTTCTGAACTTCTGTCACGCCTGTTTCTCCTGCCTTCTTTCTTTACTTGTACACTAGTCTCTAGCTTTCAGGGGTGGATAATCTGGGGCAACACCACGCGGCCCCCAGCGACCCCGACCTTTTTCGAACCCGCCAACCGGAGATCCGCTAGGATGCCACGGGTGCTAGGATCTTCCCGCTCATTCGTACGAGTGCTTCGTACCTGTCTGCTCTCCTGTCTTTCCGTTTCTTGTGCTACCTTAGCAGGTAACAGGGTCTGAGCAGGGAGAGACAACGCCGTCGACGGCATCAAGTGGTGCGAGGGCTAGATCTGCAGACAGACAGACGCCGGGAGTCTTGCGATTTGCAGATCGCGTCTGGGCTTATTCCTATACGTGTGCCAATGTGTAGGGGCTAGCGGGGTCCGGATGCTCACTACCCAGCCAGTTGCATGAGATACAGTAGAGAGAGTTGCAAGATAGTTGACCGTGACTGATTCTTGCCCTAGCAAGCAGACTGGCATGGATGTCTAATAATCTACCCGGGGACGGTACTCGAGACCTGGGGAATTGCTCGCCCTGCGCTCGCCGCTTGGGAAGACCTTCCAGGCGGGTCTTTTCGCTTTTCAGCTCGGAACCCCCTTGGGTCTTTGGTACCGCCTTAGACTCGATTCTTTTGCCTGCCTGAAAAGAAGGCGCGTGCTCGCTTTGGCACACAGCCCGATTTTCTGTTCTGCTCGCTTCGTTCCGGCAGTGAAAGGTCAGATGACCGATTGATGAGGTGGCCCTGGAGCATCCCGTCCGTATCCGGTCGAAGAACGGTTTGGAAATGCCAAGCACTGTCTAACGCCTGTCTGTCCCAGTCATCCCGGATTGCTGGGGAACTGGGCATTCGTGGTTGTTGTTTTCCCTTTGGTCAGAGGTGCGTGGTTGTTATGTGGTTCCGACCGGGCGACCATCCGACAACCGGAACGGCCGTATCGGGTGCGGTACCGGTCTTCTGTCAGCTGTGTCGTGGATTACACTACGTAGTCAGCGACATCGCAAACACCAAAGCTCACAGTGACAGAGTTGGAATGTTAGCGGGCTCTCTCGGTGTTTGAGATGGAGCGCCGCTGCCACCGCGCTCCCCAGAGCCTGGGAGTGCCGAGCCGAGGAGATGCTCTTTCCTGGCGTGACTCTGTGTTACTGTATGAGGGTGTCGGTGTGCGGGTCGGGGAGTGAGATTTCCTCATCTTACCGGAGATCAAGTCTTGTCGTCGACGATCTCTGGCGCAAGAGACTGCATTTGCTGCAAGAGCTGTCTTGGATTTGGATGTCGTTGTCGATTTGCTTTTATTCTTATGCACCTAGACACCTAGAGAGGTTGCGGTACGGGGTGAGGTACTTCGTTCTGTACGTACCCAAAGGCAGTGTAACACTGCATCAAAGTGCGAGCAGGGCAGGCACGCAGGATTCAGGAATAGAAGGAGTGAAGGGCAAGGCAGGTACTTTCTGCAAAGTCTGGGCTTAGGTAATTTGACGTCCTCTAGGGTACTTGCGTGACTCGACTTTTCAGAGAGCGAGCATTGGGAAGCATTAGACAGAGCTTGGAAATTGGAGAGCATTGGAGCAATGCTGAAAAGTTTTCCCAGTTTCCATTAGTCGACAATTGTATCCATTACGTTTCCGAACCGCACTTCTTCGCCTCATCTGATCACTTCCCCAAGCCAAGCTTTTCAATTACACAACCACGCAGCCAGTTCAGCTCCCAGACGTACCCAGGCTCTCTCAGCTCTGCGCAGCCCTCGGCCCCAGCGCAGCGTGTGCTGTCATACAGTCACGCTCACACATTCTCCCAGTCTCTTCCCCGTCGTTTTCTGATGTGGAATTGGATCGTCCCTTTTTCTTCTTCTTCTATGAATCCCGAACCATCATCCATGTTCCCTTGGACTCGGTTCTGGGCCCCGATCTTTTCTCCTTCTTTTTTTTTTTTTTTCTCTCTTTCCAGTGGGACCGAACGAACCGACCACCATCGACCGACTTTGCCTTGCCAGCCGCTCATCTTCCGTACGCTATGGTCGCGGCTCGCTCTGGTCATTTCACTCCTGTTGCCTGACCTTTACATCACTCTGTCTTCTCATCCAGTTACCATCTTCACAACTCGGGATGGCTATGACTACGTCCAGTCAGACAACGGCCTGCCCGGGGCAAGGTTGGACAAGTGCGGAAGACGACCATTCCTTGACACATCCTGCGCATTCGTTTAATGACTGAACAAACCTGAGCAATGATGTTATGCTTCAGCTCATTGCCTACTGGCTCAACTCGACACACCCATGACATTCTCATTACCAAATACCCGTCCAATGGTTGGTTGCCGGCCTGCTTCGTGTCGCCAGCATTTTTTCTCCTTCGCCAGCCCATTCGTTCTCTTTTCCCATCCGGACCTGGTGTTGTTTGACCGGTTCATGACCCTGGACCATGGACCATGGACCATAGACCTTGACATGGACCACCATACCCGACGGACATCGTCTACCGTCCGTGAGCACGAGGAAGCAAAGCATGTCACCTGGGGGCGGCACGCCAGTACCGCCGTACCGCGCCGTGTCATGTACGGACAAGGCTCCGCCTCCATCTGGATGAAGCTCTGGATGCTCATGTGACGAGGCAAGTCTCCATTCCTTTGTTTCCATTACCCAATTTTTGGCCAAGAGCAACCCTTTGCCTCTTCAACTTGCTATATTAATCTGCGGGCCGCTCACACTCACACACACACACACACGCCCGGCTACTAACGCCCAGTGCAAGCCACTCTTCCGCATGACATTAACGAGACGTTCTCAACCCCAACCTGCCTCTCGCGATACTGGTTACCTTACTGTACGAAGTACACGCCCAGTCCCAAATTCCCAAGGACCTAAACCTAGCCCATCCAACCCAATATCCTGATCCTGATCCAGCCCAAGCCCAGACGCGATCCGTTGGATGACTCTATCCCAATCCGCCCCTGTCTCTTGATTCTCACGCCCCGTATACACCCTTATACATAGAGTATCTACTTCCTTCTCCTTCTCCCACCCCAATATCACCTCAACGATTGCGAAGAGCACGTCTTGTCTTGTGCCACGCACTCCCTTCACCCCCTCGTCTCGACTACTTTCCCCAAGTTCCAACGTTCCCTGGTCTTGGTCTAGTAACATCACAAACGGTTGAGGTTGGACCACCTGAACACGCCAAACCACCATCTTCCCCGCATCACCATAACTTCCTCTTACCTAAAAGCCCCGGTCTTTGACTAATAGAAAAGTCGCTTCTGGCTTGCTCTGTCGACGGACCCGGGCCCCCGGTCTCGTCTTTCCTACTTTGCAGCTCACCCTTTTTTTACGCTTTGCCGTACGACTAGTCTCTTTCTACCCTACCCCAGCTTGTTCAGAAAGAAAGGAAGAAAAAACCAAGACAGTGGAGAAAACGTGTGTGCGTTTGGTGGTGTGTCGTGCAAACCATTGAAACAACGAGCGCAGCGACCCGGACCTTCAAGGTCAAAGTAAAGTTCCTGCAGCCATGGCTTCTCCGCGACTTCTCCAACCGCAAACCTCGTCCCAGGACCACACCTTACACACCCCCCCAGGCACTCCTCCGACAGGCCATAACCACACTCAGACTCTCGTCGAATACAAAATGGACAGCCCGGAGCCGCACCGACCTGCTACCCCGGAAAAGAATGGCAGGTCCTCTTTCTCGTCCATTCGCGAGAACGACTCCGATTTAGCCCAGACGTTCACTTCCTCAAAAGTCTCTTCCTACGCACAGAAAGCAACCAACGCCGTGTTCGACGACTCCTCTGCCTCACCCTCGCCGATCGCCTCACCTTCCCTCGAGATGGCTGAAGTTCAGTTCATGCCCCCCGTCACCCACCCCAGCAGCAGACTTCATGGCGGCTGGTATCCTGCGTCCAGCTTTAAGGGCTGGAAGCAAATCAATGTCAAGGGCAAGACGGCTAGCAAGAGCTTCAGTGACCTCCAGGCACTGCACATGTCATGGAGCACTCCTCCGCCTTCACCCAAGGGCAACAAGCCTATCAACTGCCGCGCGCCCATGGAGAGACTGCCCTTGGAGATTCTAGGTATGTTCACACGGTCTTCTATCATGGAACTTCGCGAAGCTGACCATGTTAAAGGATCCATTATCGAGCTCCTGGTCCTCGACATCCCTCCGCCATACGGCACTGCGCGCCGCAACGTCGACTTGATGTCCTTGCTTCTGACCTCGAGATCGGTGCACGCCGCAACCCTCAACACCCTGTACAAGCACATTACCATTCCTCACTCGAGAATCTTCCGCAAGTTTCTGTCCAATATCACAACACACCCTGCACTGGGCACCATTGTACGGCGCATCGACTTTAGCCACTTTAACAATGCGACCCTTTTCGAGTCTGCCAGCGAGCGCAAGGGCACGCGGAACTTGACGGAGGAGACGTTGCTGCAATGCTTGGAGCTTACACCGCACCTCCAAGAGTTCTTGGCTATGGAGCACATTGACGATGACCTCGGCGCCGAGGTGATGCAGAAGCTCTTCTTCGGCATGCCTCGCCTACAGGCATTGGACTTTGCCGGGTGCACATCGCCGTCTTTCAAGAATTCCTTTGCATCTCTAGTAGACATGGACTGGCCCGAGACGCTTTCGATTACGCGCCTCTCACTTCACAAGTGCCTGACACTCCCTCCCGCGCTTTTCGAGAAGATCATGCCACGCCTCACCAACGTCACGCACCTGGACCTTGCCCAGACCAAGATCACCGACCGAGCGCTGCAGGCCATCCCGAAGACGGCCAAAATTACCCACTTGAACCTCGCCAAGTGCACACTGCTCACGGCGCCCACCGTCATCAACTTCCTTGCGACTCATCCGGCGGTCAGAAACCTCGTTTACCTGAGCGTGGCCACCGATGCTCGGAGTCATCAGCTTCTGGATGTGGAGGACGTTTCACAGCTCATCCCTGTGCTGCCCAAGACGCTCCGGTCTTTGAGCCTAAAGGGTAGCCGCATGGATGACTCGCACCTCGAGTTGCTGCGACCGCTGACCAAGTATCTGGAGGAGCTCGCCGTCGGGCGCGACATGGATGTTAATGCCGCCGCTAAGCTGCTTGAGCCGGCGGACGAGAAGAAGCAGGAGGAGCCCCACATGATCCGATACCTGGACCTTTCGGACCTCTGGGGCAGCGAGTTGGATATCGTTGATTTGTTTTCAAGCCGAAACTCGCTGCTAAAACCGAGCTCGGTGCCACTGGAGGTGATTGAGATCTCGGAGCAATCGTTCAAGAGCCTATCTCGGAATAGGGCACTGGAGCGCGTCGGCTGGTCCCTGCAGGAGATCGGAAGCCGATGCTGGATGGTCCGAATGCAGGACCACCGCAAGGATCAGGACCGCGGCTACCGGTGGTGGAAGATTGGCGCCGACAACTGGGGCATGCGCAAGATCCCGGTCGCGCGCGCCGAAGTCGGCGGCATGTACGGGTCCTTTATGTTTGGACGCAAGCTATGAGTCACATGCACATCGCAAAATCGCATGGGAAATCAAAAAGGAGGAAAAGGAAAGGGGAAAGCATCTGCATTTGAATGCATCGACCGAAAAACAAGCAACCAGCATCATCAGCATTTGATTCCCTCGCCTTAGCCTTGGCCTTGGTTTGTTTGTCGTTTTTCAGTTGCTTTTCAGTTTTTTTTCTTTTTCTTCTTTCTTCTATCCTCTTTCATTATTCATCGGACGGAGTCGGGATACCAAAACCAAAAAAGTGCATTTGATTTTCGGGGCGGGAAAGGGTCAATGATACTCGGAGCTGTGGCGGGCCAAAAAGAAAAAAGGCCAAAAAGATGGGCGGAAAAGAAGCAGCATTTGACGGCCTCTGCAAGCAAGAAAACAGCATCAGCGACGACGAATGATTTGGCTTTGATGTACGTTATTGAAACGAATAGCATAATACCTAATTTTTATGCTGAGTTAGACGACTGTGTTTCTTTGACAATGGAACCGAGTGGTGACTTTTCAATACTGGTGACCTTTGCTCTCCAACATTGTTGCTATCGCCATCGCTGTGCCAGTAAACAATGACTGGAAATCAAGAAGCTCTCAGCGTACCTGCAGTTGGCTACATCATCGTGCCGTCACAGCGAGCCACCAAGGTCAGCATACCCCTGCACCGGAATGCGCTCCTAACTTCTGTCGCCTGGAAAATTTCACCTTAGGTAAGCTGGATCGGCTCTTGGCAGAAAGTTAACTCATCTTTTCCCTCTCGTACCGTGGCCTCGGTGCAGCCTTACGCGCTGACCCCGTCCTTCCACTATCAACCTCCAAAAAAAGAACACTTGTCAGCCTCGAGCTCCAAGTAAGGTACGGAAAATTCTCGACTTCTTTTCTCTTTCTCGAGAAGCTTCCTCCGACTTGGCATTTGGACGCATCACCTGAAAGCGCTTGCTTGATAGCAAGTCGCCGTCGTAGTTGGCCCGTCATGGCATTTGGCTGGTCAGAGTAAGTAGCCACATGTCCCTACCTCCACTCTCACGTACCCCATACCCCAAACTACATCATCGCCGAATTCGCGACATCACCACCAATGCCCGTCAAGAGGATGCAAACTGACCACACAACTCACTCTATTACAGAATCCGCTCTCTCCTTCTCGTCTTCGGCCCGATCCTTCTTCCCAAGGCAATCGCAGCGTACAAATCCATCCGCAATGCCTCCCAACACAGCGGCGAACCGATCCCCCCTCCGCCCCGCATAGCTCGCGCCCTCGCCATCCTCGCCATCATCGTAATCGTTTACCTCGTTAAGACTCTCCCGCCCCTGGCCCCGGAGAACCTCTTCACCCTCACCCAGTCCCGCCTTCAGATCCCCGTCGACGTCCTCTTCAACCGCCTATCCTCCCTCCGCCCTGAATCCGCACTCACCGCGGCCGACGAGCGCCTCCGCGCCCGCTTCGTCAACCTCGAGTCCCGCCTCCTCTACCTCCAGCTCGGCCCCGCCGCCCTCGCAGACTGCCCCTTTTGCAAGTCCGAGGACCCCAAATCCTACTTTTACTACGCACTTCCCGCCATCATCCTCCCCCATCTCGTCAACCTCATCGCGCTCGCCGCCGTCACCTCCTCCACCTTCACCGGCCGCGATGGTGCCCGCTGGCGCTCCCACGCCACAATGGCTGCCGCCGCCCTCGCCGCAGCAGATGCCGTCCTCGTAGGCCAGTACGACTACTCCGCCAACGCAACCGCCCTACGCCTCCAAGACATGGACTTCTTCTACTGGCGCGCCCGCGCGCTGCGCTACATTGCCCTCGCGGCCCTCGACGTCGGCATCGGCGCTCTCCTGTTCCTCTCCGGCACCCGCCGCGCTTTCGTTCTGCCGCCGTCGGAAGCGGAGCGCATCGAGGCGAGCAATCGCGCCCTGACGACGGTCAAGAGCAAGCTGAATGCGCTGGGCATTGTCAAGAACACGTCGATGCGCGACGAGGAGCTGCGGGCGCGGAGCCAGGCGTATTGGTTGCGCGAGGGCCAGATGGTGCGCGAGGCCATGGAGGAGAGAGAGGTTGTCGAGAGCGTCAACGACGCGCTGGAGAATAGGATTAATATACAGCAGGTCACGAGCGATGCTGAGAATTATACCGAGGGGGTGTTTCGACAGCCTGAAGGCACTGCGCAATGAGCGGCGCGGCGTGTCTGTCCCTCTTCAGTTGGAAGTTTTTTAGAGTTGGTGCGTGGGGTGTGTAGATAGCCGCCGCAGCATATTATGCAGAGTATAAAGAAAGAAGCATACAATTATTGCAAAATCTAGATGCGATGAGCTTTGTGTGAACTGGAAGAGAAGTAATGTTGGTGTCTAATACGCCTCAAGGGCTAGTGATCCATCGCAGAGCATTTCCACAAGACCGTCTTTCCCAACTTATCCTATTCTGTTCCTGAAGTACCCATCGTAACCTTAATTCCAATGTCCTCTGCTGTAGCAAACACCGGACACTCTGACTCTATGCGAACAAAGAATAGAAATCATTTAGACGAAGCGGGTATGGCCAGCAAGAAAGTAGTCAGAGTTGGCACTCGCCGTACCATATCGTAGTACACTCCTTTACATTCATCCAATACTCATTCCCCACCACCTGGATACACAACCTGAATAACCACAAAGAGCAAGCCTTTATATAACCCTCTCAACTCTAATTCCCGTCGCCAGCCAGCAGGCGCCCGTCTAGGTCGACGGGTCAGGTCAAACTGGCTAGGTGGCGGAGTGGTTCAAGGTCAACAATCAGAAAACGCCAACCAGCCTACATCGACGACAGGGTTAGCGAGAAAGTACCCGAGTCCGAATCCCAGTATGAGCACCAAGAGATGCAGCCACACCGGTGGTGAACTCTTTTTTTTTTTTTTTTTTTTTTTTTTTTGCTAATGGTCTACCTTATTCATGACTTTTTGGTTTTTGGGTTTGTTTGCAGCACACCCGGGTTTTGTGTATCTGGGAAGATTTACCCAACGATAATGGTCTCGAACCCCCTTCATGCTTCGTTCTTCAAGGCCGACGTGAATGAATACATTGGGATTACCGCCTCTACGCCTCTACGCCTCTACGATGACGCCAACATGCGTCTTTACGCGGCCCACGACGACCTCCACCACTAGTTGCCGCCCCGTCCCGTCGCCGCGCTACTCCCGCTGTCCTTGCGATCGCGCGGTGTCCCCGCCGACGATCCCTGGTCCAGGCCCTCCTCGGCGCTGCGCTCGAGGAAGCCCGCCCACAGGTCCGCGAGGGACTCCTTGTTCGCCGAGGTAGGCGTCTCGGAGAAGAACTCTGCGCTCAGCGACGGGGTGCTGGGCGTGCGGTGGAAGGGGGAGGCCGGCAGGCGGAGGATGCTGGACGACGCGCCCGGTCTGGCGAGCCCGGCCTGCTCGCGCTGCTCGTCCGTCCAGTTGAGGTAGCCGGCCATGACCTGCAGGATCTGGAAGCGCTTGGGGTCGGAGCGATCGATAGTGAGGAAGTGGAGGAGGTGATTCGTCACGACTTGTCTAGGGAGGGTGTTAGTTTGATCCGCGGTTGAGGCTCGTAGTGCAAGAAGAAGAGGTCACAGTACCTATCAACGTTGTCCTCTGGTTTCGTCTTCTTCAGGTAACGAAGAGCCTTGGTCAGATGATCATTGAGCACAATGGCCTCATGCCGCAGCTTGCCAATCAAGAGATTCTTCTCCTTGACCTCCTTCTCGAATGGCGCTGTGCGCTCGAGCTCCTTGGTGAGGGTTTCCTTGGCCGACTCGGCCTCGATAGCCCTGGTGTCCGCCTCTTGCACAAGCTTCTTCATAGCTTGCAGCTGCTCTTCTGACGTCTCGACCATCTCCCGCAGCTCCTTCTTCCGCGCATCCTGGATCTCGCGCAGGGCCTTTTGCAAGTTGTCAATGACCTGCGATTGCTGATCTCGTTCGGACGCGGCGCTCTCGTAGCCGTCCCGGAGGTTGGCCATTTGCTCCTCTAGCTCCGTCACCTTCTCGACCAGGCTCTCTTTGACGGATCGCTCCTCCATGGCGATGACCTCCCACTCGCCCATGGCGTTCGTCGTCGTCTCGACTTCCTCCTTGAGATTGGCGACCAACCTCATCAGCTCCTCGCGCTCCTTGACCCAGTTCTGCTGAGACAGGTTGTTTCGGCTGCGCAGACTCGTCGCCTCACGCGATGTGTCTTGCAGCTCGTCCCGGAGCTTCGCAACCTCTTCCTCGGATGCCTTGGCGCCATTCTGCAGCTCCTCGTTCTGAGACTCGAGCTCCTCGATGCGCTCCTTGGCCTCCTCCAGCTCGGCGCGGTCGCGCTTCAGTCTTTCGCCGAGCGTCGACTTGAGGTGGTTGACTCGCTCGAGGAGACCTTGGTAGCTCTCTTCTGCCTGCTCCTTGGCCGACGACGTCTCTTCCAGTTCCGACTTGAGCTGGGTGACGGTCTCGTTGTGTGTTCCCTGGATTGTCTCCAGCTGCTTCCTCAATTGCTCGACTTCTGATCGCAGCGCCTCTCGTTCCTTTGTGAGGGCGTCCAGCTTCGCCGTGGCATCGGGGCTGGTTCCCTGCTCCTCTACGGCCGCCTCTATCGGGGGATTCGCATGTCCGTTGCTCGTCGGCCGTTCCGTGTGGCCATTGGTTGTTGTGTCCTTATCCGTCGACTGTTCGGGGCTGGATTCTTCTATCGGCGCGGAAGCCTATGACGGCAGTCAGCCAAGCTGGGCTTTGCGGGGGGATCAAGGGAGTATCACCTGCACCGGGGTCTCCGGTTCATCATCGCCATCCTCTGCATTGTCGGGCGGAGGAGGCGCGCTGTCTGTGTCTATGAGTTCCTTGGGCTTGTTGGTGTTGTTCTTCTTCTTCTTGCCGCTCTTCTTCTTCCCTGTAATGTCACCCGTTAGCCTGGGACCGCGCATCAACGTACAGGCGGGAAGGATTCAATCGGGGTTACGAACCTGAAGATGCGTTTTGAACCGGATCAGTGGAGGGAGCGGCGGCCGACATGTTGTCTTCTCAGATGCATCGGGATGGTGTGGATAGCCCTTTGAGCTGGTGGGCGCGGGAATGGGGGAAGCTCTTTTTCTTCTTCTTTCTCAAGGGTCCGGTCGGTTGGGAATTGGGATGTCGACAGTTTGCACCTGGGCGGGTTTGCATGTACTTACACCACGTAAGCTAGGTTCGCAAATTAGCGAGCGTGTTCACTTCCCACGCGGAACCTAGGGTGCTACTCCCCCGTCCCCCACACTAGGTAGGTGGCCGCTGGGCTCCACAGAAAGGTACCGATAGCGAGGTGTATTAGCTAATGCCCGGTGGACACGGCGCTTAAACGCTGAGAACCAACGGACCAGGAGATGAACATTGTCATAGCAAACGCAACTGTGATTCTACCCTGTATTTGACATTGATTTATTCGGACTCCATCTGCTTCTTATTTCATTTATGAGATGTGAAATGAACTCCCAGTTTTCAAATGCTGCATTCCAATGTGGTTTGCTCTGAGCACAGAATCGATACATGAAACGGCGGCCCTAGCAGGTGGTCAACTGACTAACACGAGCCACACTTTGAGGGTTTGCACTTTCGGTGACTCGACCTGGTAGTGTTAGACATTCATACATGGCCAACGCCTAGAAGTTAGGGTATCGAGACAAACTATCCATGCGGCATCCTTTCTTGTTCAAAGTACCTCGAATGGCTTGATTGTTTATACGAACTACATTTACGAAGACAGACCGACTGGCGCAAGTCCGTCCACGGTTCAGTACAGCCTACCTTTATGTAGGTACTGAAGTGGGCAGATGGCGGGTCCCTCGCTTAGTCATTCTTATCTTATCGGCCAAAGCCTTCAAGAAGCGTCTCCATCTGACGGAAATTTTCCCGTTTCCTCTTTCCTTCTTCACATATTTTACCCTTCGCTGAAATATCACTAGAGCAAGCGCATTTCCCCCAATGACTTGTTCATTTTTGACGCTGAAGCAGAGTGATTTCAAAACGCCTTTTATAATCCCGGTGCTTGCCCCCAACTTTTTGGGTTGAAATGGGTGCGACGGGTTCGCTATGTGCGCACATACTAACTTGAACCCATTGAATTATGTCCCATTGTGTTCTTGATGCAACGACTCCTGAGCGACAGAAACACGAGTAGAATACCTGATGCCAAACAGAAAAAAACACAAGACTTTTCGTGAACCCCAAGATATGGAGAGAAACAGTTCCGTCGTAACGAGGGATATCATTAAAAAAGAGCCTCTTTTAACCCCTGGACTTTCTCCTCTTGCCGCCCTTGGGCGTCGCCTTCTTCGCAGACTTGGGCGTCTCAACCTCGGCGACCTTCTCCTCCTCCTCCTCAGCAGCCTTCTCCTCCTCGACCGGCGCAGCCTCGATAGCCTTGGTCTCCTCGGGCGCGTCAACAGCCATGGGCTCAGGCGGCGGCGCAACAGCCTCCTTCAACTTGGGCGCCTCAAACTCGTACCCGATAGCCTTGAGCTTCTCGGCGCGCTCCAGCCTCTTCTTCTCCTCCTTGGACACCTTGTGCGTCCAGTCGGACTCGGTCCTCTGCTTGGCCACCTCACCAGCGGCGATCTTGTGCCAGGGAATCTTCTTGAAGCGCTTGTTGGCGCCCTTCCACACGTCCTCGTGCAGCTGATCCGCCGGCACCGTCTTCACCTTCAGAATATGGCCGAAGAGCAGGTAGCTGTCCATGGTCTTGGCCACGATCTCGGCCGTGCTGGCCTCGGCGAACTCGAGAAAGGCGTAGTGCTTGCTCGCGCCGGATTTCTTGTTGCGCGCCAGCCGGAGGCGGGTGATGTTGCCAAACTGTGAAAAGTAGCCCTTGAGCTCGTGCTCGTAGAAGCCGTGGGGCAGCCTGGAGATGAAGACCACGCCGGGCTCCTCCTTTTTGCCGTTTGTCAACTGCTTCTGCTTCTTGAACTTGGGCACCTTGCCCACGTCCTGGCCCGACTTGAAGACGGTGCCGTCGCCGGCTGGCGCGTCCTCCGGGTCCAGGCCGGCGGCGAGGGCGGCAATGTCGGCGTCGACCTCCTCGTCGTCATCCTCCTCCTCGAAAGCTACGACAGAGGTCTCGGCATCCTCGGTGGCTTCGGGCTCGGCCTCCTTCTCCTCCTTCTCCTCCTCCTCGGCGGGCTCGGCGGGCGCGGGGGCAGCAGACTTCTTCGACTTCGCGTTCGCCTTGGCGGGCTTCTGCTTCTTCGCCGCGACGGGAGAAGCTTGCGCCTCCTCGGGGGCTGCTCAGGAGCACGTTCGTAAGCCAATGCAACATCGTTAGACTCCAATTGGGAAAATACCTTTGCGCTTGGGAGTCTTCTCGACCTTCTCCTCCTTGGTAGCCTTCTTGGTCACCTTCTTGGGCGCCTTCTCGGCCGCAGGCTCGACCTTTTCAACCTTGGCCGCCTTCTTCGCCACAGGCTCCTTGCCAGTGACGGCTGACAATAAATTGTTAGATAAATAACCACTGATCGCAGTCTTATGCAGCTTGTCAACTTACATCTGGTTCGTTTTCTCAGTTCGGGGGCCATTTTTGCTGATGTGTTTTGGGGAGCAATTGTTAGACAAAGTCCCTGGAAAACCGAACCTGTACCCACACGCCTGGTTGAGTACCGTCGCAAAAGACCAAAAAAATAAAAATTTCCTAGATTCTGCCGTCCCGAGGTGGAGGCGGTGAGGCATGCGACCCCGCTAAGCCCGCTAAGCGTGTATTCCCAGCCGCCCAAAGAACGACTTTTTAGTGGAGAAATTTGTACTGCATGTGCACCTATGGCATCGTCCTTAAGCGGCGTTGCAGCATTGCGCAGTGTGCTCCTCAGCCTAAGGTGTCGTTTATTAGGGGAGCTGAGGTTGCCTCTAGTTCCGTGAAAAGGAACGTCCAACGATTGGAAATCCGTCAATGAGATTGATGCACGACCGTTACTTCTCACAACAACGACACCTCAGGCCTAGGACCCCATGTGAAAGAACACCACTATCGTCTTACCATCTTACAACCGAAGGACTTTGTCTTGAAGACTCCACAAGAATACCACCAACCGACTGTTCACCGCAATCGAGTCTGATAAGTGAGAGAGAACATTTCAAACAAACGACAATCACATCGCTTCTTTGCCATATCGCCAAAAAACGCATCACAAAGCTCGAGATATCTCACCAGGGAACCCATCAGTATAGCAAAAGCACCAGCAGGACCCCTCACATCTACAGGCTTACGAAGCAGATCTTCTCTGATCTGCTCAAACACTTCAAGAAGCAAAGCCGTCCTTACCTCTAGCGCCATCTTTACAACAAGACCAGAAAGGCTTGTCTTACAGACCGCCTCATAGGTGCCTTTGATCGTCAGAAGAAACGCCATTTTCTTCAAGAGAGCTCGCTGTAAATCAGCAAACATGGCCGGCAACGATGTGGAAATGTCGCACAGTGAGATGTGGGATGACTCTGCGCTGATAGAGTCATGGAATGAGGCCCTAGACGAGTACAAAGTAAGCGGCAGATTCCTTCATCTCATGGAGGAGGGGAGAAGGGGGAATTGATACAATTCTCTTGGGAATAGAGTTGTCAGTCACTGACCAACCTTGCAGAAGTATCACAGCATCCACGCAAAGGGAGGCAAGCTCAAAGACCTTGATCTCCAGGAGAAGACGGAAGATGCCCAGTACGGCTAAGCCCTCTTTCTTTAATCACCCCCAAGACCCAAGAAATTTTTTCCCGAGACTCTGACACGTTAATGATCTACGCAGGACCGTCGACGACGCGCAAACGCAGGCCGTCGATCAGCCAGAGATCGCGGATGATGCTACAGAGGGAGCCGACAAAACAAAGGGGTTGAGCAGCACGGATGTAAAACACCCCTCGATGATGACCCCCCCCCCTCCCCAGATGAAAATCCAGGCAGATCAAAAAAGCTTGGCTTTTTCTTTCCTTTCTCTGCCTCGTCGTTATGCAACAAATCTCTATCTTATTCGCTTCCGCTAATGTCTTCCTTGCTCGTCCCGATCTAGGTCAAGGACCAGGCAGATTCAATAAGTGTGCCTATGGCAGCAAAGGCCAATGCCCCCCCGGGGCCTGCGACAATGGGCCCGCAGAGTCTTCTCGGATCAGGTATGTAAACGATCCCGGTCTATTCAGAGTTGGGACGGCAGTTGCAGAGTAGCCTCTTTTGAACTTGGACACCGGACTGACTGAGGGCTCCCCCTTTCTCTGGGGTTTGTAGTGCAAGACGAGGGTTTGAAAAGACTTTTGATGTCATGGTACTATGCCGGCTACTACACGGGATTGTACGAAGGCCAGCAGCAGCAGCAGCGATAGCCGGGACCAGACAGATGCCAAAAGTAGATAGCGTGAGCCAATCGATGCCCAGCGAGAGAGCGGCTGCAAGTGCGACGACGAGGCTGAGCGGACCCCTTGAGCCTGGCCGGCTGGGACACACAAAATGCAAGGTTGTGTGGGGAATGGGGTGAGGTTGGTCGTCCTGAAAAGCGGCTACCAGAGAGTTTATCTGATCGACGTGCGGGAGGACGAGTTTTGTAACACGATCTGTTCCATCATCCGATGATGCAACGGCGCCACACCGTTCCATGTCTGAGGTTCGCCGTGGCATGTGTCACACGAACGACAGGAGCAGCAACTTCTTCAATAAGCAGCCTCTTGATTCGTCTTTTCTATTCCCGTTGTCTGCTTGGCTCTTGGGACGGGGGAATTTAGGATGCGGTCCAAGTCGGGGTCGGGCGAACTTGGCCTGGCGGACCCAATAAAACCTATCTTGACTGCGATAGAAGGGGGAGAGGGGGGGGGGGATGTTAATGTAATCATGTCGGCTATCCAAGAGTTCGTTTTGTTTCACTGTGGAAGGGTCTAGGCTTGGTTGTTTCTCTCCTTTCGCTCCGAGAGGGAAAGCCCCAGCAAAATGCGAGTCGAGACTTTTTTTTTTTTTTTTTTTAACCGTCATCGCACAGATGCAGCTTGGGCGGATAACGAGGCAATGTGCGGAGACTTGACCAGTCTCTGAACAGAAAGATTCCTGGCAAGGCCGCCATGCCGTGGACGGGTATACAAGAGATGACACTACTTAGTGCAGGCCGGCCAAGAGGTCTTGGGTATGATGAAGGCGGTCCAAGGGGATTTAGTTGAGATGACTCTCTGTAGGGTTGCGATCGGAAACAAGTCGAAAGGTATTGGATGGAAACGTGGAGTTGCCATGTTCCACCGATCCGCGGCCTCGACAATTCAAGAGTCAAAACCCATCCGGGCGTTTTCAGAGTGGACTCGCGTATCCGTATATGTTGTCATGAACCGACTTCCGGTCAAGTTGTTTCCCCTGTCAATTAAGTGTTGCTCGAGAATCTGCATGAGCGTGATGCATCAGTTGTTCATGGCACAATGGCACTTTTCTGAGCCGCTCTATCCAGAAGGTTTACACAATGAGCGTGGGGTTCCTCCGGTCCGGAGTCATGTTGCAGAAGACGGATGTCTATCCTCAAATGATCGATGCAGTGAATAACACGGCCCGGGTACGACGGATGGGATTAGGTTGGACTTGACAGGAGGCCGATGCCCTTTCTCGGCCGATGCCCGAGCAGGCTGGCGATGCGCTGTATACGTACGTCAGGGTGACCGAGCCACTGTGCAGCGAGCACAGGCAGGCCGCAGACGGAGATGGATCTTGACTTGACAAGTCTCAATGGAAGGAAGGCTGCGCCAAGTGGTGTACCTTACTGACAGTATCGTGCACAGTCAGCCTCCTTGCGACTCGAACTAAGAAATGACGGGATGATGGTATGATGGCGGTGCTGGAAGGAGAATAAGCCGATGTCTAGCGGCGTCGGTGGACCTGTGTCAAGACAAGGCTGATGGTTGCACTAAAGTCCTATAGGAGCAGATAGTGTAGGAGCGGTCGGTTAGAATGGTTCCTGATGCTTGTTGGACAAGAACAGGGGCACATGGATGTATTTGTGGTTGTCTTGGAAGTTGGGATCATGGATGGGACGGAGGAAGGATCGGTGGTAGGCGTAGCAGTGTGTGGCGGCTGACAATGGCGGGTGAGATGAGCAAAGTTGGTTGGAGGACTGGATGACGGCGAGATTGGATTGGGCCGTGTTTGTCTGAATGGTTGAATGTCTGTGAGTGTGTGTGGGCTCTCTTGCAACAGAAAAGTCTTGGACGAGTCTTGGTGTGTGGACCGGGAAAAGAGTTGCCCGTGACCAAAAGACACGATGAAAAGAGGGTAGGAAGGCAAAGGGGGGAAGAGGGGAGAGGGAGAGGGAGAGGGGGCTTGTTTCAAAGTCTTCATTGGCTGTTTGAGGCGGCTGTACGCCCAGCATCAAGGTACTTGGTGACGCTGGCACGCCTGGTTCTCGCGATGCCTTGCTATCCGTGCCGACTCATGCCGGGATTGCGGGCAGATGGGGAGAAGACGGCCGCTTGAGCCTGAGGTTGATGCCAAAGAAGCCGAAAACCGAGATGGTGCGGGATGATGGTGTTGCACCTTGCACAGCGATATCCGTACACTACCTTACCTTACCTAGTACCTAGGGTAAAGGTACCTTTTGGAGAGACTTGAGGAACCCAGAAGGCAAGAGTGGCAATGCTAATGGGGAATGTACCTTGGCACGTGTGAAGACGATGGGACCTGCCTGGCCTAGTTCCCGGAATTTGACATGTCCAGCAGCAACGAGTCTTTCTACTGTAGGAGGTTGAGCCTGGTGAGATGACAGCAACTGCATCCAAGATACGTATTTTGAGGGTGGCAGCGCTAAAAACGGGTTTGTGCCTGACACTGGGAAGGGAACACGGGAGAGACTGGGAGGGTAGGTACTTTAGAAATAGAGAAAAGGTATAAGGTTGATGGGTAGAGTTGTATTGTGTCTCGGTACCTGCAGGAACGGTGTGGCAGAAGAGGAACTGGCCAACTCGGGATGCAGAAAAGAGGAAGGAAAAATGGAAAACGGGGGAGGAAAGTGGAGGGGAGGAGACCGAGGAGTTGAGCAGGTGGGGACGCCATCCCGTGGCTCCGGCAGCTAAAATGTCTTGTCAGGGGGCATTTCGACGGTGCAACCACCTTAATTGGCTGCATTAAGGTTTAGCATCCCCCAAAGACAGCGGGAGGGTTAATTTGCGTAAGGTGGGTAAGCGTGGCAAGGTAGGTACCTACCTTGATGAAGAACCTGAACCTCGGGGGAAGGAAGGTAGAAAGAGACAAGCCTTCCAAATTGGCAATGACAAGCACATCGGGCAATTTGGGCAATTTGGCTGGGGCAATGGGGGAAGGAGGGTCTTGCTGAGATCAATTAATATATCTCTCTCTACCTTATCTGGTTGACGTTTCTTGGAAGGCACGAAGGGTAAGGTACGGAGTAAGGTACATCTCGGACTTTGTTTGGTCAATTAGGTAGGTACATTCTACTACGTACTGGTTACGATTCCTTCAGGTTCCCGACCTACATCATCGTTCTCTTGACGTTCAAACGTCACAAATTCGCTGCTTTCATGCCACTCCCACTCACTTTGTCGAGAGGCCTCCCCTTTCCAGGCCATGCCCAGCACAAATCATAGTATCTGTTCGGATACTCTCTGTATGCAAAAAAGAGACGTCCCATCGCCCAGGGTCCGAGCGAGTGCCGTGTTCGGAATAACGGCCAGGGGGGGCCACTTAGCGAGATGCCAAAACACGACTCGAGACGATTCTGTCACAGCTCCCGCCTCCTCGACCGCACACTGCTCCTTCGCAGCGTTAGCGCAACTGCGTGCCGTCTCAACCAAGCTGGAGCTGTCATGGCATCCGACTTTTCCATTCTCTTCCCCTTGCGAGTCACTCACCATTCTTCCCGCGTACCACCACATTACAGGGCCTCATTCACTAATCACACTCATACCTTAGATCACCTCACACACTGCGGGATTTCTGGCTGAAGTCAAGGTTACTCGCACTCGGTCGCTCACTCACTCACTTCACTCTACCCAATATATCCAGCAGCATCCTAGTCAAGTGACTTCACCATGCTCAACGAGAGCTGCGAGACGAGACAAGACAGCCCACCTCCCTGTTGATGGCACACCAAGCTTCTCACCTACACGACTGCGGCTCCGTTGGCAGCATCATCGTCGTCTCTACTATCCTTGTTACTGTCTCCTCGTTCCCGTTCGTGCGCTGGGGCAACCTCTCTCTCTCTCTCTCTCTCTCTCTCTCTCTGTCGTCTATCGTCTCTCCGTCATCCATCCGTTCGTAGCACACACACCCCTGCTTCCTGTTCCTGTTCCTCCCAACCCTGAACCTTACTACCCCTACTACAACGCTTCGTACGTAGTGTACAACCACTCATCTCGTCTTGGCTTTTTTGTTCTTAATTTGCTCCAAGCTTGGGATGGCAATGCCGCCGTGGGCCTGTGCTTCATGTGCTTAATCGGACGCTGCATCCCCGAGCAACGAACCGCCCAAAGACACCTCGTCTTACACACACCAGACCCCTGCTCCATCTCTATCCTCGTTGACTCTCGTCCTCTCTCCCACCCCCCCTCCCCCCTTCTGCACACGAAGCACCCCCGGAGGCGTTGCTTGGCTGCACTTGGCTTGCATGACCGGGGTCCAAAGTGCTTGGTGCCTTTCCAACACGTCCCAAGGACGGGCTGGCGGAAGATTTTCTCGTCCTGTTTCGTCGAGGTCGATGTTGCGGCCGGGAAGGGGCTGTCCCATGCCATGCCCTGCCATGACCATACTCCATACCACAGAGTGTTTTTCCTACCTAGTATCCTACTCAAAGTACCTGGGCCCATGACATGGGATAACGAACCGATAATGCGACGTGGCTCGCGCTCCTCATGCCAGCCGAGTCTCGCTCGATTTAAGCTCTCTTCCTCCCCCCTCATCCTCGCCATCAGAGAGGTTTCTGTTTCTTCCTCCCCATCTCTTCTTCATCCGCCTGTCTTCACTCATTCCCTGTGTGACTTTCGTTCTCTTTTCGGTTCCGTGTTCACTCTTCTTCGTCACGAGCAGGCCCTCGCCATTAAAGCCATCCAGCTATAACTAAACCCTTTTATTCCCTTTCGACTTTCTAGCCAGGCTCTAGCAGTCTCGCCAACTACCAAATCTTCAGAGAAGAGAATTAAAAAGAGAAAAGAGGAGGCAACTACTGGTCGCATTACCCTCGACAAACGAAAAGAAAAAGTCACACTAATCGACACCGACGACAACATCTAAACAGTCAATATGAAGTTCTCCGCAGTGTTAGCTCTCTCCGCCGCCGTCATGGCCTCCGCCAAGTCGGTCCGCAACCACTACCCCGTCCGCAGAGATGGTCACAAGAAGGGTGAAAAGGGACAGGCTCAGGCTGGACAAATCGCCGGTCTCCCCGCAGGCATGACTGGGTTCGGAGTCTCCAACAGCCAGGTCACTGAGGTTATCATCATTTGGGCAAACCCGGGTGCCGGAGCCCCTACGATTAACATCAACCCTCCCGCCGGCGGTGCCGCCGCCCCTCCCGCTGCTGCTCCTCCTGCCGCCCCTGCCGCTCCTCCCGCCGCGCCCCCGGCCGCTCCCCCGGCTGCTCAGCAGACTCACAATGTAAGTAATACAAGGTGGAATTTGACAATGTAAGCGAGATCGTCACCACTAACACGCCTCCGCAGGTCATGGTTGGCGGTGCCGCTGGTCTCGTCTTCGTTCCCGATCAGATCAAGGCCAACGTTGGGGACATGGTTGTCTTCACCTTCATGAGCCAGAACCACACTGCTACCCAGTCCGCCTTCGCGACGCCCTGCGACCCCTTGGCTGGTGGCATGAACTCCGGCTTCATGGCCAACCCCAACAACTCCGTCAGCCCCCCTCCCCAGGTTGCCATGCAAGTCATGGTCTCTGAGCCTTTGTGTAAGTTCTCATGCTCCAGTGTGCACTCTCACTCTTACTAACACGCGTTTCCAGGGTTCTACTGCGCCCAGGCCAACCACTGCGGAAAGGGCATGACCTTCTCCATCAACCCTACCGCCGCCAAGACTCAGGCCATGTTCCAGTCTATGGCTATTGCCCAGAAGGGCCAAGGTGCCGGCGGTGCCATCACCGGAGGCACTCCCCCCGCTGCTGCTCCCGCTGCCCCCGCGGCCTCTGCTCCCGCCGCCGCTCCCCCTGCTGCCAACCCCGCTGCTCCTGCCGCTCCTGCTGCTGGTGGCGAGATCCAGCAGGGCACTGGACAGATCAATGGCAACGGTGCTTGCGTATGTTCCGTTACCTGCTCTTCGGGATCTTTCCCCGCAGTCGGAGCACAAGGCGTTGGCTCTTTCGGCGGCATGGCAGGATCTCTCCCCATGGCTATGATGGAGGCATAAAGAGGATATTACGGATCCAATCACTTTTCACTGGTGAACGTAATCCGCCTTCTTTAGTAATCCATTTTTATTTACGCCTCTGGGATAAGAGAACCTGTTTTTTTGCCCACTCCGCTGGGAACGATACCACATATCCGGAGTTGTTGTCACGATACACACCTTTAGGGGAACCCGTCATATCACGACCTTTTTCTCTTTTTTCTTTTTTTTCATCATGTAGATTTCTCTTTTGGTGGTTGTGGAGACATAAAAAGAGCGGGTAGAAGGTACTCTTTTTCCACGTGTTCCGGCTTGGGTTGAGCCCGCTCCCCTTGTGTAGGGAAGGAAAAGAGGTGATGGGGATGATGAGGGTTTAGGGGATAATTACAGATGTATGACTGGTTCGTATTTCCTGGATGGAAAAACACCATTTTTTTGTTCGCAACCGCTTAATAAGGAATCAAATAAATGGATGATGAATGACCACAGCTTCAGTGTTCCTCCACGTCGTGTTCAAGTTTTGACTATCTGAGAATGCCATTATTCGGCCATCGAGAGGAATGGCAGAGACACGGGGTGAGAAGGAAGAGAGAGGGGAGAGTCACACCCGAGAAAGGTGCTCGGCGAGACAGGTTCGGGGGAATCTCTGATCCGGCTCGTGACTCGTGAGGTCAACCCGGTTTGATCGACCGTCAGTGTGCCGGATAAGCGCCGATAAAAGGCAGAGCGACCTGTGAGGGAAGGCCGAAAGGGTGTGTGGGAAGTCGATCAGGTAGCCGGTCTGCCGTGTATCTATTCCCGTCATCCTGGGAATGATTTGCTATGCCCATTTCATGATTCCCGCACCGCTTCGCGTCAACTCAAGTCGAGATCTAGGAAGTTTTCGATTGATCTACGGGAAAGTTTTGCCGGGGATAGGGCCCGTGTTTTGTGCACTGCACCTGTCATTGCCATGCTTGTCAGGAGTCTTTTGATGTTACTGAGGAAAACAGTAACATGTCCAAATTGTTGGAGATGATGTGTGATGAACAGACGGCGGAATGTTTTGGCTTTGGATTGGTTTGAAGTGGATCGGACATAAGTCCAGTATCCGAGAGCCGGGTTGCTTTTTGCTTATGATAGAACAGCCTACATCTAATTACTAGAAAGACGTGTTGAAGATGTCTGTTCATCTCTCTGCAAGGCAGAATTGTGATCGTTTAGGTAAGTGGTTGACGAAAGTCTGACCCTCTCGTAGTTCGTCATGGTTCATTCTCTCTGCGATTGAGTGAGTACTCCTTTGGTTGCAAGTCATTTGAGATTTCCATTTGTTCTGATATTTCACGCCCGTCTCTCCATGCTCAACGAATGTAACCTCCATCGCTTTAACTAAAGAATAAGAAAAAAAAAAGAACCCCCCCTGTTTATGAATTTCCGTTTCGCCGTTGATTGATTGTCTCATTCCCATTCTGCGCTGAAAAGGGGGTTGGGCCAAAGAGCCGGACTATTTCAATAGCCCCAAACTTGTCTTCCTCGAGCGTCCCGTCTGACTGCATCGCACGTCGCGAGATGCATGTGCTGACTCATCTCAGTCAATGACCTAGTCTTATGTGAGGCTGATCATGAGACCTTGAGGAACCCGAGCGCAAGACAAAGGCTAGAGGTAAGACAGATGGAGGAGAAAGAGATGTTTCATTCCAAAATGGCCTCTCTGACTCCCTAGCCCCCTCCCATTCTCTCGCGCCCTTCTATTTCTTTTTCGACCCTCCTGCTCCCTCCGCTGCCTTCTTGGCCTCAGCTATAGGTTGGATCGTCAGCACACATCGCCATTCAACATGAGCCAGCTTATTATCAAAAGTCTAAAGTCATCCCCACGGCGCGCTTTCTCTCGGACTTCCATTACCCAAACAGTCCTCGCCATCGACGGTGGCTATCCCAGAGTACGGTTTTCAAACAAACTCCGATAAGGTAGCTCCAGGACCACATCGCAAAGGGGGGGAAGAAGTGAAAGTGGCCCAGCCGGTCCAGACTGACACTGAGTTCCTATTCAACCCCCCCCTCCCCCTTCCCGAGTTTACGCTACATTGAGACGAGAGACGGCCATGGGGAGCAGCGACTCCAAACAGAACTTGAGTAGTGACTCACCGTTGGCCTGCTTCTGCCGCATAATCTCAGCAGCAGACTCCTTTGCGCGCTGCATTTCCGTGCCGCTCATGGTGTTTCCCTTCTTCTGTACAATTCAAATCTTGTCAGCAATGTTGCTCGTACATGACCATCGACGACAATGATCTGCGCGGACATTGCCCCTTTCTCGCATTTTGCTGACGACCGCTGGTGCCCCGCCCCCACCACAATGAGTCTTTAAGCCTCATGGGCCCCCTTTTTCTCATCCGCCATCTTTCAAAAAGTTCCAAGTCCACTGAGCAGAGAACGCAAATTCGAGAAGTCGCAGATATTGAGCAGAGAGTGAATCCCGCGGACATGGGGTCTCCCTGGGAGCAGTCGTACGACGAGGGAAGGGGGGAAAAAAAAATCTCACCTGAGAAGCTGCCTTCTTCTGGGCAGCCTCACGGGCCTTGTCGCGCTGGTTGCCACGGGTCATTTTTCGGGTGTATGTAACGGTAGGTAGTTGAAAACTTCTAGTAATCGAGGTGCGAGCTCGGGAGACGGTTGCGATTTAACAAAAAAATTCGCAAGACGTGGGTGATTTCCGCAGTTGGGGGTTTACGTTTGGTATGAGGTTGTCAGACGAAGCGCGCGAGAGAAGGGAAAAAGAAACGGGAGGCTGAACGTCGGAGAAGGTTTAAAGGGAAAAATTGCGGTCAGAGAGTTGGCCGTTGAACCTTTTTTTTTAATTGGTTGCCAGCCCGGGGCGACCGCGAGGTTTGCCGCAACGCCGCACCCAGCACAGCCCCGCCGTCAGCACTCTGCAACCCCTCCATTCACTCACTCACTCACTTCCCACTCACTCCCGCCTGGGCTCTCTCACCTAGTGAATGGAACTGGTGTGGGACCACGCAACTCGGACCAAACGTTCTGGAACTTGCGCTCTTGAGGGAACGGTCCGACCTTGACCAATCAAAAGCGGCTGTTTCGACTCTCGGTTACTTCACATGCTCCATCCGATCGCAGGCCTCCCTCCTCTTCCATTGTGTCGCACATCGCGCTTCTGGGCCGCAGCGTACCATTCAGGAGGGCATTCACTCCAAGGTAGAAGCCAAAATTAGTAACACCAGTAACTCTTTTCCAGTGGTCAGCATCGTTACACACATCACGAAGACGTCAAGAATCACAACAAAACCTTAAAATCAAGATCTTTGTCTCGAATTATCTGCCTAGTTACATGCGCGCGGTCGGAGGGTGTCGTGGGCAATTGCTGAGAAGCATATGAGCAAATCGAAGAGCCTCACCAAACACGTCTTGTTCTCCGCCGGCCAGAAAAAGCAAAAAGTAACGCCCAATTTTCATCCCTAGAGTTCTCTTACACACACAAGAAACCCTTCTCCAATCTTCAGAAGGCCAAATCGAATCTCTCCAGAAACCCCCAAAAATGTGAGAGCCCATGAGCCCTTGATGAATATCCCCGTCTTGTCGATGTTGTATCCTCCCAATTCAGATAAGCAATGAGAGGTCTGGGTGTCATACTGAGCGGTCCATGTTGAAAGTGCGAAACGATGTGTCAACCGCATGCGAGAAGGGAAAAGGGAAAAGAAAAAGATAAAAAAAAAACTGCCTCCGATGCTGTCATGTCCCAGTGTTGGCCCCTATGCAATGCGTGCGCAGTCAGGTATCTCCTGTATAATCTTGTCGAACCGTTTCGTGGATAGTAGAAACGCTCGAGTGGAGGTCCGCAAGGCTAAGGTGGCCTGTAGTACACCGAAGGGCCATCGTTCGTAACGGAAGAAACTCAAGTCTTCCCGAGATCGTTGCGCGTCTCATGATCAGCTTCGTGACTGGCGTATCGTTCAAGGAATTATGTCGATGTTGTTGTCGTGAGTCCGGTCCAATCATGATGCCGAGGGTCACTAGTTGACCCTGGCGAACGAGCGTCGAGAATGGAAAAAAAGTGTCGAAAACAAGAGATCGCGGTGAAAACAAAAGAAACTGAAAGCAAGAAAAGCGTTCGTCTATGTCGATGTTGGCATCGAATCAAGTACAGGCCCTATTGAAGGCTCCGCCCGATCTGGTGACGGCTGCCGAGAAGCAGAATGCGATTCTTATGTCTGCGCTGCAAATGCCGAAGGGTGGGCACTGATGCGCTGCCCGAATCCATAGTGTACACACAAAGCAGGCCTTGCAACCGGATGCAAGGACCGCCGTGCTCGACGGATGAAGAGGTTTGGTGGATTGCGGTGTTGTATGTTGGTTGGAGGATGATTTGTGGTGTTTGCACAGACAGGGAAAAGGAAAAAGATCGTCAAGTCGTTGCTGCGTAGCCGCCGTGCTGTGTCGAAAGAAAACCGTTACGCGGAAAGCATCATGCCACCATTACGTTCGTTGTCGAATGCCCGGGCCACATTTCGTATCATTGGGACCGAATCTCAGCGGGCTGAAATGGTTGACAACGCGTCGAATACAATTACAGCCACTGAGACTCGCCCGCAGCCGCGTCAGCAGGGGCGCCACCGTTGGTGCGCTGCTGGCCAGTGAAGCCAAACTGCTGGACACGCTGGTTCTGGGGAGCGGGGGGCGGAACAGTGACGTTGTTGGTCGTGGGGTAGTTGGCCTGGTTGCCGCGAGGAGCCATGCCACCGCCGTTGAGACCACCGTTCAGACCGTTGCCAAAGGCGCCGCCAGGAGCGATGATGGAGGTGTTGTTGGACATGGCGCGGTTGTGACCGGGACGCAAGGGAATCTGGCCCTGAGTGGGGTCCGCAGGAGTAACCTGACCGCTCGAGGTGGCACTACCACGGCCCTCGAAGGCCTGGATCTTGGCCTGGATGCGACGGCCATAGGGAGTAGACCGAATGGAGGGCAAGATGGGGCGGATGGCGTCCACCAAGCGGTACTTGCTCGCAGGAGGAGCGTACTCGAGGGCGGTCTGGATCACGTAGTTGGCATACGAGTCGCGGAGGAGTCGCTCAATCTCGCCGGGGTTCAGGAGCTCGTCGACAATCATCTCGCGGGAAGGCTCCTGGGAGCAACGAAGGCACTTCTCGATGACATTGGAGCTGAACTTATGGCGGGAGAGCTGGCCGATGCGGTTCTGGAACATACGCACAATCGGCTCAGTGAAGGAGGGCTCGTTCAGGTCAATGATGTACTGGACAACGTAGTTGCCGAAGGGATCCTGCACCAGGATCGGAGCGTGCTCGGTGATCTTGGCAATCAGCCAGACCTTTTGCTCTCCGGACGCGTGATCAATGCAGCGCTGGAGAACGCAGCAACCGTGACGATGAGTGCCAACATCAACGCAGTTGGTGCCGACAGCGTCGAAGATGAACTGCGCATCCTGAGCGCTGAGCTTGTTGAGACACTTCTGGATGACATGGTTGCCGTTGAGGTCCTGGATGAGCTCAACGACCTGGAAGCGAAGAGCGTTGATGATCATCTCAATCTGGGTCGGAGTAGTAACAAACTCAATCATCTTCTGAAGAGCACGGGTGCCGTGCTGGTTGAGGGCGATGCGAACCATGTCGACGGCGGCATTCTGAATGAGCACAGTGCGCTCATCGTCGTTGCAGTACTCCAGCAGCTTCTGGCAAAGGTAGTTGCCGAAAGGATCAGTCATGAGCTCAATGACGTGCTGGTTGGTTTCCAGCCAGATCATGTGGACCTGCTCCGGGTTGCGCTCTTCGAGCTTCTTTTGCAGATAGCGGCAGCCGTGCTGGTCCTTGCAGAGGTCATAGATCTGGCCACCAACGTTCTCGAGAGCGAGGCCGTTGTAGCGCGACATGGCTATACAGATGTTAGTGGTGTGTACGCACCATCAGACTGATTGTCTAGCTTACCTTCATTATCCATCTGGCGGCGATGTTGAATGACACGGGCCTGGCTATCACGGGGCTGAGGCTGAGGGTTGTACAGAGCGCCATAGCCAGCGTAGTTCTGAGCAGGGTACATGTTGTTGTTGTTGTTGCCATTGAGGTTCATATTCTGCATGCTCATGGCCAAGAGAGGGACGCCGTAGGGGCCAGGGCCAGAGGCGGGGGGAGGACCGTTGTTGTTGTTGTTGTTGTTGTTGGGCGAGACGTAGCCGCTCGGGTAGAATCCACCGTAGCCGTTGTTCGGACCAGCAGTGGCGGTGCCGTTGGGGGTCTGGTTGCCCTGAGAGGTGTGAGGGAAGCCTTGACCCGGAGCACCAGGACCGAAAGGAGCTGCATTGGCCTGAAGAGCCGACTGAATGGAAGGGTAAGAACCAGCCTGCTCGCGAGGGCCGCCCATGTTGTTGTCGTTGGACAGTTCACGGCTGTGGCGGCCGGGAACGGCGCCAGCGGGAATGCGACCGATGCTAGCATTGTGGTTGTGGAAATGCTGCTGAGCGTGGTTGTTGGTAACAGGGCCGCCGTTGGTGGTGCTCTTGACGGTAGGCACATCGTTGGCAGAGAAGGAGCTCTGCAACTTGGGAGGAGTAGCCATGATGTGGTTACCGGGATGGTTGCCGGGAGGAGAGACAATGGAAGCCTGGTTGTCGGAGGGAGCGTCCGGGAAGAACTTCAAGTCGAGCGAGTGGCGAACTGAGGAACGCTTGCCGATTTCTCCAGCAGATGAAGCTCCGTTGAGCGAAGACGTGTTGATAGCAGACAAGCTCTGTTGGGTTCGGTGACGGTTAATATTGCCCCAACCATGGGAGGACGGCGCGTCAGGAGCGGGCGAGGGAGAGAGGGCAAGGTCAAGGGCAGCGGATGATGCAGAGAGCTATACGACGCAAACAATTGTCAACAGTTGATCGGAGGCTGACAAGTTCGAAGGTTTGTGTCGACAGTATTTTCCCTGCAAAACTCTGACCTTGGCGGGAGGAAGGAGCAAGCGGTAAACGAACAGAAAAGGAAAGGGGGATGGATATGGGGATATTCTGCTCCTTCTCTTTTTTCACTCGCATCCACGGGTGGAATTTGGAAAGAAAAATAGAAGAGGGCAAAACAAGGGCGGAGTGGAAATTTTGATCAAGGTGTGCGGGGTGAATCTGACGGACAGGAGGTGAAGTTGAAGCAAGCTGCAGCTGCAGTAGGTGCGGTTGCTTGCGGCTCGCACCTTCCCGCCCATGAGGTTCGGGACATGGTACTTCACCACCCATGGGCAAAATAAACAAGTGGGCCTTTTTTTTTTTTTCCTTGCTGAGCAGGCAGAAGAACCGTAGGCACCAGCTTGCTCATGCATTGGGAAAGGAAGGCGACAGGGTAAAGCAGCCATAAGAAAGTAAATAGAGAGAGAGGTAATATGAGTGTGAAAACAAAATGCGCAGACATACCATTTGATCGTTCTGGCGAACCAGAGTCGGGAAGTTGTCGTCGCCGTTGGCCTGGCCGTACTTGTTCTCGCCAGAAGCGTCCTCCTCGCCGAAGAGGAAGCGAGCAGTGCCAGTCTGGTCGAGGTCGGCGCCGTAGAGACCAGTGCGGGAGCGCGTAACCGGCATCGAGTAGCGGTTGTAGCTGTCGTTGGGAATTTCAGTGTCAGCCATTGCTCAAATTGGTAGAGGTTTGCTTGCTGTGTGGTAAGTATGTTCCTCTTCTTGGGCAAGTCTTGGGCTGTCGGTTGGTCTGCTTCGAGAAGAAACGAAACGACGGAAGCTAAACGAAACTGGGAAGGCCTTTAGAAAGAAAAATGCTTGGCGGTTGATTCGAACCAAGCTTAGGAATGCCGGGGAAGGTTCTTTTTTGAGAAGCGTTTGAGAGGCAGGTGAGATTTGTGATTGGAACAAAGAATTTGAACGTCGTGAAAGCGTGATGTGAAGACGCAAGACCAGGTGCGTGATGTTTCGCGGTGTAACTTGGAAGGATAAGTCACTATTGTTGGTCGATAGATGTGTGAGACTGTGTAGGGTGCGGCTGTGGAACGGTCGAAGTTGAAAGGAAGAAGCCGCTCGAGTTCGCTGTTTTACCGACGAGTGGGGTGAGGATTTAGAAAATCTGGAAGGATGGGGTCGAGGGAAGGAGCTCTCGCCCATCCCAGAGGAAGGGAAAGAACTCATCCCAGAGGAAGACCTTCCCAAGGCAAGAGCGTTCCTTGAAAACCAACTTGTGAAGGCCCGCCGTTCGTTTCTTCCGAACAATACCAAGACCTTACCAAACGTTGACAAAACAGCTTTACCGGCCTTCGCTACCTTATGCCGTGATACTCACCCAGAGACTTGTCCAAGAAGCAAACATACTGGTCACACTGCACGGGTTACGGCACTTACGCGTTTGAAGATCGATGACTAGTCGGATCTTGGCGAACTGCCTCCTCCTTCTCGTCCTCATCGCTGTTTCTGCGAGATCCCGGCACGGATCGGGAAGGCAGATGGTCGTCAAAGGTGAAGCGGGACTGCATCACCGTGGAGTGCGGTGAAGTGAGCTGCGAGCCCGAGCGCCCGGGGCGGTTGAAGAGACCGGGAGGCGAGGTCAAGCTCGAAGTCGAGTAGCGATTGGGGCGCGAGAACATCGTGGGGAAGCCGGACGATTCGTGGTATTCGGGGGGCGTCGTAGGCTCCGACTGGTGGCCCTGGCGGAGGTCGTCTTGCATCTTCGCAAGCTCCATCTCCTCGCGGCGCTGCGCCTGCTCCAGCTTCTGCATCTCCATCTCGAAGCGACGTCTCTGCTCGCGCAGTCTCTCATATTCGATCTTTTTCTTCTCAATCTAGGCCACGCAGTTAATAACCTTTCTTCTTTACTGTGTATTTCAACCTTGCGGTGATTGCTCGTGGCGATGGGTCCTGTCGCTAACAAGATTCTACAGCGGGATGGCGGAAGCCCACATACCAATTGAACTTTGTGGAAAGTCTGGACAAGACAATGTCAGTCGCATTCTTGCAGAGTATAGCGCGCGATGGCGAATGAAGACTTGCGCGTGGAACGCAAAAGGATAGCATTCCACCCGTGGATAGAAACGTACGTTGTTATAATCAGGGCCACCAAGGTCAGGGCCGCGCTGACCGGTGATTGAAGACAATGTTGGTACACGCCCCGAATCCGTGGTGAAGCGGCGAGGCAGGGCACCTCGCCCATCATGGGCCTGAACAGGCTGCGGGAGGCGGCCGTTCCGCGGAGGTGAGACAAGTGTGTTCATCGTGGACTCGTTACGGGGCGACTGTTGAGATCGGAAGCGCAGCTCGTCCATCGTTCGGCTTATTCCAACAATTCGTACACGGCGCAAAGAGGCCTAGTGGCTGCGGTTTCTATATACTGTTGGCATCAAGCAAGGCCGGCGGTCAGCGACAGGAATGTGTAGAGGGGTTTGTTGCGAAAAAGCAGCGGCGGCAGCATCAAAGAATGAGGTAGATCGGGTTGCGTGTGACGCCCATGGCGGCGAGAAACAACAGAACAGAGCGAGAGTTTCGTGATTCTCGAAACAAGGGAAATTGGAGGCGGGGTGCGGAACTGGCGAAGTTTGGTGGTGCTGGTCCGGGGGTTCCCTCTTGGTCCTGGTCTTGGTCCTGGCCTTCTCCAAATGCGGGCGGCAATCGGTGAAGCGCTGAAGAGACAAGGAGAATGATGGCAGTGGACGCATGGTAGTAGCTGAAGCTGGGCAGCGTGAGTGAGACTCGAATGTCTCGCCCTGCAACTCCTGTCTCTTCTTGGGCCTCTGAATCGCGGTCCGAAACCGTCACTGCCGTTGTCGTTGCCTCTCCAGCGTCTGCCGAGCATCCCTACCTCTTCTTCCCCTTTTCGTTCCACCTGGCATCCAGCTTTGCGATGTTGTGCTTTGGGCGGTTGAGAAGCCTCTGAGAGCGCAGTACGATGTCCGACTGAGTTGACTCGCTGATTTGGTGACAGAACGACACAAAGGGCAGCCGCAAGTGTTGTTTCCTCTCTGGTTCTCTCTCTCTGTCCATGTTTGCGTGGTGTGTAATGTGTTTCTTGCCGCCATGGCGCAGTTGCTCCCACAATCGCAGAGCTCTACCACACATAGATGCGGGTGTGATACAGCGACCGGCCAAGCACAAAGTGAACAAAAGAACTGGAACGTACCTGGTTTTTTCTCCCGTGGTATTCTTCCCCAGTGCAGTACAGAGTATACACTCAGATAAAACTCACACGCCGCGCCCTGGAGAGCCAGGAGCGACAAGTTGAAGAGGTTTTTTGGAATACACGGACACACGAGATGGTGTACAGAAAGAGAACTGGGTAGGAAACCGACGACCAACGTGGGGAGAAACGAAAAGAGCAGGCTCGGAGCATAAGAAGGTAATGTAGCGATTTTCAGGTGTGGGAGACAAGCACGGTTGAGAGGGCGTGGCAGGCCAGCCAGCGGCCCAAGATACCCCTGCGCCAACGACGGGGGGACCCAGTTTGACGGGGGCCACATCAAGAGAGGAACCACAGACAGGAACCACCACATCTCACTCGCTAACCAGGTGCCAGGCCATGGCGGCTTTGCAAGTCGGAGGGGTGGTTTGCTTTGGTACCCAAAGAACCCTGGTCAGCCCGCGAAAGATATCCGTTAGTACTGAGATGCGAAGGACTCCGTAGTCCGTACCGCAGGTAGCTACTGACTACCTACCATACGGACACTCTCAAGTGACGAGAAAGCCCCTCGTTCCTCTCTGTCCCGCTCAGAGACTGGCTGGAAGCCAAGGGGAGACAAAGTACCCTGCGCCGTATTGCGTTACCACACCTTACCCTGTCCTTGTCGAGGTAGCGTCCAGTCCCTCGCGCGCCGTACCTGGCCAGGTCGGGAGGAGAGTTGCGGGTACTCAGAGCAGGTACAAAGTCTGGACAGCGTCAGGCTTGCACTGTACATAGAGTAGGTAGGCAGCTAGGGTAGCCGCGGTGCGTGTGCATGTGGTTGATGCTCGACGGGTGTGCAGACGTGTGTGTGTGTGTGGGTGTGGGTGGTAAAAGGTGATGGTGGTGGCTCTTTGAGTCTGACGCAGCGCAGCTTGGGCTTTCGCAATTCCTACTTCCATGAAGTTCCCAAAAAGGCAAAACAGCCAGTGGGAGGCGAGGGGCGGGCTTGCGAACCCTGTTCGAAACCCTCCCGCGCCCAGGAGCAGCGTCAAGACTGGAGGGCGAGCCCGCAGATGTGGTTGCACTCTATATTCGCGGGATACCTCTCAGGTACTAAAACAACTCGAGTCTGACCGTGGCAGCCATTGGCGTTTTGTGACTCTCAGAGGTGGCCAACAAGTCAGTACTGGCAGAAATGGGATAACGATAGAACGGTGAACATTGTCCTTGAATCAGTAGCGGTTGATTGCTGCACCATACCGACTCGTCTGTCGATATCTCGTGACTTGTGCGTTCGCGTCTGACTTCATTTCCTCTCATCCTGTCCTCTCTTCTCGTGACATGCACGCAGCGAGCATTCCAGGCCCATTGCCCAATTACACACCCCTCCGCTCATCTCACTGTGTGTCTCTCTTTCTCTTTAGCCCCTCGTCTTTTCCCCTCCCCTCCTGCTGAGGGGCTGGTGCACTAATAGCCATAGAAACCGCCGAGTCTAGCAGGTCGGAGGTCGTCCGTACTAGTCCCAGTTGACCATCTTGTGCCGCTTTCCTGTCAGGGGCTGTCTCTTGCGGGTGTAGCACGGTGCGGATGGCCCACAACCCAGGCTTGTCAAGGTTGTGCGAGCGTTGACGACAGAAATGGCTGTTGCCGGTGCATCGGAAACTCTATCTCGGTCTGACAGGAGGCCCGAGATCCCCTATTACCCAGTTTGCAGAGTCTGCCAGGCCCGTGGCGGCAAGTTTCTTGCGCTGAGCTGATGCCCCATCTTGGGTTGGACGGTCACCGCCTCGTATCGTTTTCGTGCTTGACTTTTGTCGAATTGCCAATCTGCCAAGTAGGGCTTGGGGCTTTGGGAATCACCTTGTATATGATTTGTTCTTGCGCTGGCTGCGAAGCAAGCTCGGAACCAAGGACCTGCATGCTTCATTGAGCGGTGAAGCGGCAGCCTGTGCTGTGGGCTGTCAAATATGTAGGTTTGTTTCTGTCTGCAAGCCTAGCAGACCGTCTGTGCCGCGCACTGCCTGTGTTGCATCGCTCTTCGGGACTTGGATAGCCCTGTGCGACCCCGATGGTCTTTCCCCGGATCGAACGAGTATGGCCAAAAGATCTGGATATTCATGCCAACTGTCACACCGTTGCGTTGTCCGCGAGCTTAATTGACAATACCCGTTGCTGCTCGCAACAGATTCTGTGAATGAGGAGTTGCGTCAAGGCAGACAAGGACTGATCGCACGTCTGTGCCATGGCCGTCGAAGATCGGCTCAACCGAGTGGACAGACAAGGGCTGTTCGCCAACGAACAAGATAGGATGTGCACATGGGGTAAGTAGAGCATCGGCTCTTGTTTGACCATGCAAGCTATTCGAGGCCTACCGCTGTTGTGTGCCTGGCCCATATGTCAAATCGCTCGTCAATGGGGAGCTCTATTCGCCGTTGGCACCGAAGACTTTACATTGTCGTCAGAAGTAAAGAGACTTGTTGTTCTGTTCGGTATCAAAAACCCTCTCTCTAGATTCCAAGGGATCAAATGACCC